TGAGTAGCGATCCTAATACCCAGTCTGGTAATAGGTACTGGTCTACGCACTGTGTGTGTGGCCTCTATAGGGATTGCACCGTGAAGAACTTAGCCGGGAAGTGAGAGGATAATGCTCGCAAATTGTATGAAGGGATAATAGTGTATGCCCAAACTATCGATAGACATGTAGAAGAAAAATAAGGTACTCAGGATAAAAGGGTACATCCCAACTGTCTTACCAATAGAGGCCTCATTCATGAGGAAGCCATTTTTGATCTTGTGCCCTGAATCTGTTCTGTAAGGTGTAAACTGTCGGTATGCGTGGTGCAGCTTGAGCCTTCCTTTCATTATTTTTTCCAGGTCAAGCTTACAACACGGAAGTGTATTTAATCACAAATACGAAATTATTCATTAGAGCAGATGGTTACTTATTTGCCGTGAAATTTATTTTTGTTATATTCCTACCCTCAAGTTCTAAAATGAAGAGTTACATGTAACTTTGCTTTCAATAGATGGATTTCACATTAGCCCCATTTGCGCATATCCGCATCGAAACTGAGGCTCTCTGTGTTGAACTTCGTCGTGCACGCCCGCGGAGTCCACACAGTACATGCAGTATCCGGTTCGTAAGTGTGACGCCACTTCAGTTTAAACCACGCCCACTGCACAAGATACATTAGTACGTTAGTTCGCGGTAAATTGCCATTGTTTTTTCCTTTGATTTCATGCGTCGAGTCATTCTGAAAGGCTCTTCAACAAAAATTTGGAGCCTGAAAAGTCTGAATTTAACACACCTTTATGTATTTTGTGTCTTAACTCCTTACTTTCAATCGTTTGATCGTATTAAGAATTGAAGCTGACACATACAGCCTCATTTTCAAACGCAGAAGTGCGCAGATCGACGCTAAAAGCGTCGTATTGGGATCCCTCTATTTCAATATGCTGGACCCGTGAGTTAAGTGTGAACATTGCATAGTACTCCATAAGAATGTGCATGTACTGTGTGGTTCATGTGGTCCTACATGTGCATGTACTGTATTTACATGTACATATGTACATGTATATCCTGTACTTTGTACATGTACATGCCCTGAAAAACGCCTTGCTGCAAGACGTTTGCTGGGTCTTGTGTTACGTATGGTAATTAGATGTTTAGCCTGTGAAATGATCTGCTTTCGGAGGTTGCACGTGTCCAAATCAGAAGCATTGGTTAAACCTTTGCCGTACATGTATACCTTTGGTGTCACCCACTCCACGGTGTGGCTACCAACGGGACACCACCAGTTATTGGCCACTTGATCTTCGATCCCTCGCTGCTGTGTTCGCGGGTACAGATGACAAACAATCGGGGACGATCTTATTCTAATCAATCTCGGTCACGCCGCCACCTTCCAATATCATGAACATTAATCAACCCTTGCAACCTTGCCCCAGCACAGGGGAAAAAAATTTCAATTTAGTTTAATCTGGATGATCCCGCGATTCGTCGGTTCTGTTCTGACGCGCAGCGCTGTCCCCTTTCTTTTTTTTTTTTAATTACATGGTAGTCGTGATGAAGTAGTGGCATTAAATAGGTCTCTCAATGAAGGTGTATTGAGCTGTAATGCTGTACAAATGTTTAGATTGCTCGGGCGTGATATGCTCGTATCAAATTCTCAGTGATGATAACAGCTGAACACATAGCTGAGTTGAGCATACACTCGTGTGTGTACAGCACACGCAGTGCAGAGATGTGCGCCATTGTGGAAAGTGCACTGGCGTTCTTGACAAATTGTACATTTCAGCAATGTCAGGCAGCTGGACACGTTAAGAACCCTTGGGTGGCTGATTTGCTGAAGAAATTGCATTCCTTATGTGTTGCTCATTTTTTGGTGGTTGCTTCTTTTGTTTATTTTTGCTCCACCGTCGACAAATGACAAGTATAAACAATCGGTCTGTGGGTCAAACCCAGTGGTCTGCCACCGATCTGGTGCACCTTTTACAGACGAAGCTTTCAAATTCAAAACTAAAGGATTCGGGCATGGACTGCCCAACCGACATACCGTAGAGCTGCCCTGTCAAAGCAAACACAGAGTGTAACTCGTGGAGTGTTGATTCACACTGGTTTGAGGTGATATCCTTGAAGACACACTCAGCACATTTCCTCTGAGCTCTTGGTGTGAGTCAAGCATTGTCCAGTAAGGCCTTATCATAACAATAGAGGCATTGCAGATGTAATAGTCATGGCTAGACTGGCACAAGTCCCTCACTTACCCCATGGCTGCTCTAAACACAAAGTCCCACTAATTACCAACGGAAAAAAAAGTTGCATAACTGGAGTACATTTTGTGTACATGAGGACAAATGCGTACATAAAAGTTTCACTTTAATAGCTTCAAGCATGAGAACTTTATTGCATCACCATTTAAGATTTTTAAGTCTATTTAGTAATCCAGTTTCTTTGAATTCAGTGGTTGGCGGGGATTCTTTTGTTGGCCAGATTGATGTTGGAAGCCATTCTCAGTTTTATCTTTCAAGTGTCCTTTGTTCAGGTACCTGTACGTGTACCGGCACTCTGATGCCATCCATCGGTGGCAACTTGTCAAAGAACATGTAACCGTATGTCTCAAATGGAAATCATTCATTAAAATTTTTGTGTCCAGAAGTACGGTACCATGACTATTTTGACGGTGAATATGCAGAACGGACTGGTGCAAATCTAGTGTGACTCATTCAGTATTCTCTCCCTCCTCCCCCCATATTCTTGGTTAAGAGCAGGGGGGCAGTTGCCGTGGCAATATGCATAATATATGCTAATCACTGATAATCATACAGATGGGCCTACCGGTACATGTATGCATCAATATCTGTCAGCAGCAATTTGTCTTAATCAATCACGTAAAAGATGAAATTGCCACTGCAGTGACCCAGGTCCTTGTAATGATCGCTATTACATTCCTCAATTTTTCCCCCCCTGCATTTAGACTGGATGAATCTGGAAATCAGACACTTCCTGCATGTATGGAAATGATTTCCATATGATTTTGAACTGCCCGGGAGAAAAAAAGAATATTCACTGGTGTGATTGAGCACATCTACTTGGGCACTATTCATTTATTTTAGTTATGTAAAGAACTCTGGGCGCTCAGTTTGTGTACATGAGTGCAGTGTAATTAGGCAACAGTTTCGTGGTTATATACCGGTACATGTACGTGGGTAATTCCAGAAATTAGGGGTCCATCTTTTCTTTTTTTTTCCGTTTCCCTGTCACATCTGACATATGATTTTGTAAGTTCAGAACACATTTTCCAATTTCCAAGAGTTAATTAATGCAAATTATCTGCCAAACAAATAGTAATAGTTTGAAATCAATTCCGTTGATATTTCCATGCCAAATCACAAAGGTCAGATGTAACAGGGACACAAAAAGTCACACATTTGGACCCCTACTTTCTGGAATTACCCACCTACTAGTAAAGTTGTTTGTAAATGTACTGTGCAGTTTCCTCCGGGGAAAGTGTACATGTTCATTCATGCATATCTGTCAACGTAATGTCCATGAACTGATTGATATGGTTTGGTTTGTTGTCAGGTATTAGAATGTTCAAAGGACCTGTAAAGTTTGTGCACGCACGTTATGCTTGTTACCCGGTTATGAGGACAACACATGCGTTGAAATAAAGATGTTATTGGGACCAGAAACTTTATGGGGGAAAATTTTTTCCCCCCTGCAACGACTCGGTCTCAACTTTCATAATGAAAGAAATGTTCCCCTCGACACTGTGAGGGCCGGTCCAACTTATCTCCATGAATATGTACATCCAACTGCATTGGTGGATTTTGTTCCATCAGCCGTTTGTAAAATGAAGGTAAAATGTTTATGCGTATACAATGTATGAATTGTAAGAACTTTGAGGCACTTGTAGACAAGTTGGTTTTTTTTTTAAGGCTTATTTTTGGACTCTGACACTGATTTCACTCTTGCCTATTTTGTTTAAAATTCATCTGAACTCGTATGCATAAGTGAATGGAGCCAGTCAAATGAAACAGAAATAAATGAGTGTGATAAGTGAGAAGGGACTTGAAAGTTGTAGTGGCGAGTCTTCAAGCTAATGACACCATTAATTGACCCCTTCCTGATTGAAGCATGACGAAGCCTTGATAACGTTTGTGACGTCTTGCCTTCCTCGCTCAGCACCTCTTGACAAAGCATTGGGTTAGCTAGGCGATGTTATGACAGTGATCCGATGTAGTCACTGGCTGTACGTCTATATGAATAATTCAGTCTTCACAAAGTCTCAACTGTTACGGAGGGCTGTACTGCATGATTCACGTCCATTTGTCTCGTGATTGAACCCTTTGACAGGTCAAGTATGTAAATATCTAAGGTGTTAATTTATGGCAGTTCCTCATTTCAGAGTAAGCATTCACCCTTCGGCAGGGAAGCCGAGCCCACTCATAAGAGAGTCCCCCAGATCCCCTGGTACTGGGGGGAGGGGGAGGAGATTGGTACCATTCCATCCGAGTGATTTCCCGCCAAGATAAGAACGCAGTAGAGAGTCATGCCAGGCTGTCCACTGATGTCCATCAGTATGGCTAGTTTCCTACATTTGGGCCGGATATTAGATTCTGTCAGAAAAAGTAACAGAAAAAGTGGCCATCCATCCATCCTTTGGAACGACTTGTATGGCCACCACAACGTGGACTCCTCCCCCACCCCAGCACCCGTCAGGTTTTTGTGCTTCAGAGCCATTTTGCATCAGTACACAAACATGGCATCATTATGAAAGCATACCATTTGCAGATTCTCCGTTTTTATTGAATCGGAACATGAAACGTGCGGTAGTGTACAAAAGTACAGTTAGAGCTTGTGCGTGTCCTTCAAAATACTTCGAACCAGTTTGTAGATTTAGGTTTGGAAGAAATTCGACATTACGACACAACGGAGAGCAGTTGTGTCTTGGGCTTTGTTTTTGTTTTTTTTTCTGAAAGTGTACATCATGGTATCTAAATGTCGTCTCTGGTTTTGTTCTGTTGCAGATTTTTTCAAAGAGTTGATCGATAGGGGTCAATTGGATCTCCGCTACATGTTCACAGAAACCTACGGGTCGCTATACCAGCAGAACTCTGAGTTCTTTGATGAGCTCTTTGAGAACTTTCGCCGGTACTACCACGGTCGGGACCTGGACCTGGCTGAGACCATGGAGGACTTCTTCACGGAGCTGCTGCGGCGGATGTTCGTCCTGCTCAACCCCAACTATGAGTACACAGACGCCTTCTGGGAGTGCGTGGCTGAGCACACGGCCGAGCTCAAGCCCTTTGGCGATGTGCCCCAGAAGCTAACGCTCCACGTCAAGCGGGCGTTCATTGTGGCCCGGACATTTGTCCAGGGGCTGTCCGTCGGCCGGGACGTGATCTCCCAAGTGTCAGAGGTGTGTACGGTTGATTTCGCTGTTCCTTTACTTTTGAATCTTTGCTGCTGCAGTTGAAATTTTCACTTACAGGTACAGAGGGCCAGCAGGAGGAGTTACCATTATTTACTTGCAAAGTGAAAAATTTCAGATGCATCTAAAGCCACTGAAATTTTCCTTGCCCAGAGTGGGTTCAGTGCCTGTTTTGCTTTGAGGGTTTGCTCCCAGCCATGAGTTTTTTATCCTAAATGTAAAATATGCATGCTGTCTTGACAACTTAGTGTGTTACAGTCACATGATTTCAGTCCCAGGCTGTGATTGGTCAAGAGGCCACTCGCAGCGTGGCCCACTTTCTAATACTCGCCAAACCCGAGGCCAAAAACAAAATTTGTAAAGTTTGTGGCATTTCTTATGCAACACAGCAACTTCCCAGCCGCCTTGCCGCTGCCTGGTACGAGAGTGCATGGAGGTTGCCCGAAGGCAAACTTACATAAATAAATTTCACAGTTGCGTGTGGTCGCCCCATTCCACCCCGACAAAAGGTCAGGGGGGGAAAAATGAGGGGAAAAACCCCAGTGGTGGGAAAGTGATGAAATGTTGCATAATGGCCCCCCCCAGCAGGTTGTTCACCGAAATAAATTCTGTAGTTAAATACCGAAGTATGCACTTGATGTGACCCGCAGCTTCTCTGTAGGTAAAGGCCAGGGAAGTATATACATGTGGGGGGAAAAAAGAAAAAAACAAGCCATGGAGTCAAATCATGGGCATCGCTCTGTCGTTATGACCCTTCGGGCCGTTAATCTTCTGAGCCTGTATATATGAATGCTGCACTGGACGCTTGAGCCCGAATGGATCGGGGACCGCATCACGGAGTCACGTTCATCGTTGGCTTGCACCGCTGAGTGATTTGGAATGGAGCGACGCTGCCCTAAACCACCTCTTTCCCTCCCCGCTGCGGATTGATTCCCCCTACCCCGTGCTCCACAAAATGTTCCTCTGCTCCACTGGGGGGGAGGTGGGGAGGGGTGAATGCACCAGTAGGATGTCCGTGGAGGAATGCCCAAATGCCCGACTGACTCCCGGTGATGATTGCTTGATTGAGATGCGGACCGGGACCAGTGTATACTGATTGGAAAGGAAAGGTCAATTCATGTGACCCCCCACTGACGTTCACTCCCTGTGCCCACTGGCAGCAAGTTCTTCTATGATTTGTGAGCTCTGCATGGTCAGTGCAGAGGAGTCCAACGTTGGTGATTGTGCAGGTCATTTTTTGGGACAAATCCAAGTTCATTTTGACATTGTCCCTCTTAACTTCTGTGGTTTGTGCAGACCTCAGGCTTTCCTCCCATGGCGATCAGACCAGTTGGGCAAATCTGCCAGATTTTAAAGAGTTAAGGTGGATTTTCAAGGAAACAAATTCATACATTGAGATCTGATAATATAGGCTTTGGCAGCTGGAAAGTACAGTGATGTATCTCTTGGTTCAGTGATTTTTCCTTGATAGAATTTCCTTGCACTGCTCATTTTAGCAAATGCTTCAGCAAATGTGCGTACGAAATTGCAATTCCAAATTGCACATGTAAAGTTGAATAGACATCAGAGCTGCCATGCAGTGTGCACATAAGTGACATTTTCACATGACAAGATAGGTGTCACAAAAGTGAAAGTGCCCTCTGACTGAAGGAATTCTTCTCTTCAAGCGTGCAGCTGTTTGTGAACATCCCCAGTTCAAAGTTAATGACAGTGTGACTGGAGACAGGGGTTCCCCCTCTTTCCCCGGTGACCGACCAACCAACAGACACTGGAGGGGGGAAAAAAAACCCCAAGATCGGCACGTTGCCGTGAAAACATCATGCAGCACTTGTTAGCAGGGTAACACTTGTGTGTATTGATCAGAGCTCTTTGTGTCGACTAGCTTTGCACCCACGTCAGCGACTGGACCCACCCAGAGGATCGATAGACGTGACCGGCGCACCGCGAACTCACGTCCACAGGAATGAACAACAAGTGCATGATGGGATAGTGAATAATGACCGCAGTGTCATAAATCAGTAATGGCTTACGATATCGATAGTTTCTAATTACGTATCGTATTCCCTCATGGAGATGTACGTTTATATTAAGGTACAAAGACGTGTGCCTCTAGTTCACAGAACCTTTCCAGTTGTATCATGAAGTCAGTGTCCTCAAGACATGAATTGTCATTTTTTTCAGAGGTGTGATATCTCAGAATTGTCCAGATTTCAGGGTTTTTTTATTTTTAAAGAAATCAGTTTTTTGGGAGGTTGCACGATTTCAAAATTGTCTCCGTCGTGCACTCTGTACCATAAACCAAGTGCAGGATTGACATTTGTTAAAGTCCATCTCAGAGACAACTCTAGTTAATTTCTAAATCCACTTGTGGAGGGTTTGGAAAAACAAACAGTCATATCAGAAAATGAACACCGAAATTAGATGGATGTGTCTACCCATGGCTAGGAAGCCATGTGGTTTTTTAGCATTCACTTCAGTGTACAAATACATGTACATGCAATACCAGTTACACATGTATGTTAGTTGACATGCTGCTATTGCTGTGCATTTCATGCAACATTTTTGTCGTTGAGCCAAATACTCTTAATAGTTAACGCAAGCTTTTGATGAGGCGATATAAAAATTTGCATGATTACATACTGGTACCCGCTTTTACACGCAGCCGTCCGTTGGGACAGTGTCATGAAAAATACCCTTGTTTTGTACCAGGATTGTTTACGTAAAGATAGTGTGAACCTGAAAATTGCAATTAAGTTGACAAGTCTCAAAAATTGACGACTGTTTCTGGCAGCAGAAAAATGCCTCTCCCAACATTGTATTCCTGCATGGCGATTTGTAACCATGAAAAGATGAAATTAAACAAAAAAGAAAGGAAAATATTGAAATTGTTCTGAAATCTGCCGTGACATGGAGATCCTAACTTGTTTGCCTGCGGTTAATGTCAGGGGGGAACATTTATCTATCATACTCCTTGTAATCACAGGGACGACTGTTTACACTGGCAGGGTTCAAGATTGCGGGCAATATTTGAGTAACGTAAACAAGCCAGACCCCCCCTCCCATTTCTCCGTGTGTTATTGCAACTGCTCTGGCTGTGACTTCTTCACCTGGCGGTGGTCCCGCCAGGAGCTTGTTGGAAGAATTTTTTTGGGGGGGGAGGGGGTGGTGAAGGAAGAATGAAGTTTCATGTGTACATGTAATCTGCACCTGAAGCACTTTGGCAGGTGTACGGTACATGAAGTGGTACGAAATCATGCATACATGTACACATGTTTACACCGTCATGTCAAGGCAGAGTGTGGCAAACTGTAAGATCTCTTAAGTCTTATACAAACCGTCCCTTTCACTCTCTCAGGGCAATTTCAGTAGAGGTACAGTAAGTTTGCAGCGAACTGGGACATTGTATGCTAATTTTGTGTTCTCCAAAACGTCCCTTGGTAGCCCTAACTCGGCCACTGGCATTCGCTGGAACATTTGTTTCGGTTGGATTCTACTGATCTGTTTTTTTTTTTAATCTCTTTGATTCTACCTGTTTGTTGGATGAGTTGGCTTCTCATCTGCAGGTTCAGAAGGGGGCAGATTGGAAACCTGTACATGTAGCCTACCTCAGGGTTTAGGAACATTAAAATAAACCGAAAATCATCAAGCTTTCCTCATGGCTTTTGAGTCAAAAGCTTCTGCTCTTGAGATTAAACTGATTTCAGTTAAAAAAAAAAAAAATTATTGATCTACAGAAACAAGTAATGATGTCACTGAGCACATTTTCCAGTTGCCGGTATGCAGGGCTTGAGCAAAGCATTTCTGTCTTATAACTTGACACAGGGCTCGCTCCCTTATTGAAACACTCTTAACAACAGCATCATTTATCATTTTGAGGAAATCATGTCAGAACACAAGTTGTTCAAAGTTCAGCGATCATAAAAATGGACTTGAACATGTGACACAGCCTTGCACTTCATCCTACATGTACTGTTCCGTGTGCGTGAGCTTTCGCTGAGTTTGCCACGTAAAAAGCCTCGAGTGATTTCACATTATAATGTCGGGCAGGCTCACAATCACAGCCAGACTGGCCGGCTCTTGAGATGCTTTCTCACAAACCTAAACAGATGCTGGACATCAAACGGCAGCGATCCCGACCGACTTGGCCAGGGAAGATGCCGACAGAGCCGATCGCCATGGCAATGACCCCTCGTTGACCTCAGTGGCTGCAAGACAGCCTATTCCTGTCTTTGGGAAGGAGTATTGTGCTCAATAAAGGTGGATTATGAGTTGATGGGAAAACTGGCGCTGCTCTGGAATTTAATCTCTCTCGAGGCAGCTTTTCCTTCAAAGCATAAACAAGAGGCAAATTTTTACCTGTTCAAATTGGACACTTTGTACATGAGCAGAAAATAAGACGGCAGCAGTTGAAGACAGCAGCCTCGTATTTCACGATGCTTGGGCAGTCTCCATGTGTGCATAATTTTGGTTTATTCCGACGTCTAATTTGGAAAAAGAACCCTGTCCCAAGTGTTTCAGTTGTCTGTATCGTTCTGCCTGAAGAAGTGAAGTGTTCCTGTCAGCATATATGCTGGCTCATCAAGCCTCGTCTATTACCCAGTGTCGGTCCATTGCTCCTCTTCTCATGCCGTGTTTAACCGCTTTATGCGGATTGACGTTAAACTTTCTTGTGACCGGCCATCGAAACAGTCGCTGCACTGTCAGCTTGCATGGAAATCCTGAAAAAGTGAAATGTGGGGGTTTTCTGTAGCAGGGTGCGTTTTATTGGTGATCTGGTAACCATCTTCTTCAGCACCAGTTTGAAGGGTAATAGGTTGAAAGATTGTACTGGAGGCAGTCAATTTACATGTAAACTTGGAAATTCAACAAAATGGGGAATTTATATTTTAGTGTGAGTGACGAGGAGATGAGAATTCACTGTGAATGTTCTGTCCCCCTGTCTCCTTGCATAACTTGCCCTGGTATTTCTGCATACTGTTGTCATAGTCGGCAGACACAGTAAAACACCAAGACTCGGCTACCTCCCCCCAGGGGATGGGAACTAAACTAATGAGGAATCAACAACAGCAGCAGTTGCCACCCCCAGAGGATGTGTTCTAGGGGGAAATGTGCGGGGGAAGCAGGAGAGTGAAAGCGAGAGAGCGCAGCAAAGGATGTGCAATGAGGCGGGAACCGGCTAATTGTTTTGATAACAGCTCATCCATTAGTGGGAGATGAGGACTGAGACGCCTGCAAGGAGATATGGAGGTGATGACACTGATGTCTGTTTTTGAAGGAGGAGGGATCATCTGTGATTACCCACAGCCTGGCCAAAGTTCCTCAACGAGACAGAATTTACTGTCTATTGGATTTTAAACTCATAAAAGAAACGGGAAGAAATTGGTTACTGTCATTCCAAAGGATGTCATATTTGATGGGTTCTTGCCCTAGTACATACTGTTGGTGTTTATTCTGGCCTATGACTTGTTACATATTGTCTTCCTCCGGGGGGTAAACTGTTACAGTGAATCAAGTCTGTACTCCAAGAGTGCATACAAAATGAAGTGTATTGAAGGTCAGGTGGGATAATTAGCACGTGCTTGTGAGATTGCTGAGTGCCAACTCCTGCACTGAACTGGTATGATCAGGTGACATGAGGTGTTTTTATCCCAGATGACCTTGCCTCTTTGAAATCATGAACTGGCCTATTTCTACATGTACCAAGTGAGGGCATTCTCCCACGCACTGGTCATGCTGCCCTCATGCGATCCTTGTTGAATTAGTGGTGTGCTGCTCATGCGACAGTGTAGTCCCCCCCATCTGGTTTGAATCTGGCTGCAAACATTATTGCCACGTTCACCCCCAAGACTGAATTTGATGGGGGCAAAGGGTTTGAATGTGCCATCAGATGTCCTCACCTGGTTCTTATCACCTGGCCGAAAACGGCATCCTCGTTAGCTTTTGAAGGAGTCCCAGTAGAGCATCTTACGTACTTTTAGCGCTGGAAGAGGCTCTCAGTTGAAGCCGTCAGTAGAGAGAGCATCATCCGGAAACAAACTTTCCCACGATGTTATTGTACAGTAGCCACCAGTCCCCTGAGCAAGCACTGTTAATGTTCTAACGTGAGCAGGATCTCGTCTCGCATCATTCCCGGTTTCCTCAAAGGAAAAAAAATAAAGTTGAAGCGTCATCTATGCATGGATGTCTTCATCCCTCCCGCCCTGCCGGAACTCGTGCGGAAAAGTGTGAAGGCGTTGAGACATTATTGCCTAATGGTGGGGAAGGAAGAGCCGGCTCATTATCTGTGGGGGAGATGGGGCATGATGGTAGCATGGACAAGGGGGGCTTGTCAACACGTACGAGCAAGGACCACAAGGCGATGCTGATGGGAACATGAGGAGGTTGACTGTGGCGTATCACGCTGGGCGAGAGGAAAGTGACAGGTAGACAAACAGACAGTGCCTCAATGAGCCTGTGTGAATGTTCAGCCGGTACCCAAGGGTACATCCTACTGATATCGGACACCTTTAGATCCTGCTTCCAGGACATGGTAGTGCAGCAGCCTGTGCTAAAAAGCCACGTCTGGGACTACCAAGGCTACAAAGGCTGGAAACAGCACACATGCCGGTAGAAGCCAGCACATAGCGGCTTCCTTCACTTCCATAGACTTGTGTGTTATTTGCAGCCACACCGGTAGATTGATCCTAGATGTCCGTACATGTAGGACCTGAAGCCTAAGGGCGTGCTCAGTAGTATGTGTCTTTCCTGTTAACACTAAATGGCCTGTTCCAGCATAATGTACATGTGTATGTTTGTGTATTGAAGTTTACAGATGCCTTGAATGAGGCCCAGTTGTGTGCAGAGTGGGCGCTGTCTTAACATGTTATATTAAAAAGATTCTGCCCTTGGTGCTCTGTGTCTCTGGTTATCCTTGCTATGATTTGATCTGTCAAATCCCATCACAACATCTAATTCACTTGTGTAGAATGCTTGAGCGGGTGGTTTAAATCAATTTCTGCCCAGTCAAACCTCAACTGCTTCTTTTTCCAAAACATCAACATTTTCTCCTATCTTTGTTTTTCATTTTCAGTTATGATCCCAAGTTGTACTCGACTTCCAAGTCGGCACAAGGTAACATGTAACTCAAGAAAACTAAAATCACACCATGTGCTCTTTTCTCTTACGATTTCCCAGGTAACGCCGTCAGCGGAGTGCCAGAAGTCCCTGATGAGGATGTCCTATTGCCCCCACTGTCGGGGCCTCCCCGACACCAAGCCGTGCTACAACCTGTGCCTGAACACGTTGAAGGGCTGCCTGGCCGAGCAGGCGGAGCTGGATGCCGCCTGGAACAATTACATAGGTATGTCTGCATTTGTAGATCAGTGGAAAGGAGAAACGAGGGTATGGGCTTTGTGGGAAGGGAGGGAGGGAGGCTGGCTTGCCTTTTCCTGGAAATGAATTTGACAGATAAATGGGAGGAGGGAAAGAAAAGCTAGAGGAATGGAAAGAATGGAGGAACAGGGATTTTAATCATCAGTGTGTTTGTAAATATATGTACCCGATACCTTGGAATTGGCTGGTTTCTACCATGAATGGTTTGTCATTTTACTGCTAGTGAGTACTTTGCCCCCCCCCCCGAAAAAAAAAACAGGTGGTGCCAGTGGATTGGGGCTATTTTAAGAATTGTTGACAACAGTGAGGGATCGGTTGTCAGGACTTCATGGATGAATTTTTTCTTAAACAGACAATTCTTGATTTTTGAGGGACAGAAATGGAACAGAGATTGGGCATATTTGCTGGGATGGAAAACTTGTGGGATGTTCCGACAGGTCATGCCTGGCCAAGTTCCTTGGACCTCCCCAGAGGAGAGTAGTGACTGCATTGGTTTGGGGGGTGTGCAGTTAGGGTTTTAATGGCACCCTGTGTACCACTTTCAGGTGGGCCTGTGTCGTGTAACGTGATCCCCCTGCATCACAGCCAACAACCAATCCAGGTTCCCAACATGTTGGGCCTTAACACAGTGTGGAATGTTCCCGGGATCCTGTCAACTTTGTCACAACATTATTGAAAGAAATGTGACCCCGGGACCTGGCAGCCTTCCCCTTGTTAGCAGTTTTTATTGGCCATAATTCAATATTGTGTACCCAGCTTTTGATCGGCGCCCTCTGACCCATTATCAAAACCTGCCAACTTGTGCCAAAAAATGTGTTTTTGCCGCCGCATCAAATGCTGTTGTTCATCTTCAGTGTCTATTTTACTTTCTCTTGGCGGCCAACCAAAAAAAAAACAACTTCATCACATTGGGTTGTTTTTTTTTTTAATTTCCAAATCATATGTAGCTTTCTTACTTTCTCATCTTCTAAATGTCTGAGTTTCTCTTCTTTCTCTTCAAAACAAAATAGTCTGTTTCCAACAAAAAGGGTCTGTATGCTTTGGGCTTTTTGTTGATCTGCTTTAAGAGGAACGCAAGTCAAATCTAGGGATCTCTGCTTACCAGGGTAGGGATATTTTACCCTGCCTTGACTCAGGTCTTGTACACCAGAAAAGTAGAGTGGTACGGCAGTAGGCCTCTTGAATTTCCGTTAGCAGAAGATTGTTTTTTCTTTTGTGAGGATTACTGAATCTCCCTTTCTTGAGGATTTCAAATTTTTTTTGAGAAGCCTTTTAACCAGTCCTGACACATGCAGGAAAAGTGAAAACAAGGGGCTTGTAAATCTCTCTAATTTAGACCTGGGGGAAAAAAACAACCGAAGCCAAAACCCACCTGGGATTTGAAGGAGGGCAGCAGAGAAACCGGAAGCAGCCATTCCTGCCTGACAGACAGGATTTCCACCCCACAAAAAGACTATTAAATCATTTCTCAAGGAGCAGCCCCTGAAAAGCAGGCCTGAATGGTTGGCCATGGTGCGGAATGGGTGGGAAATAAAAAATCTGCTGGGTGGCGAGGATATGTTGTGATCGATATCAATATCGATGAATCAGTTGGATGCACATGTGTGAGAAAAAGGGGTCTTTTGGCTCAGCAGATGCGGAATCAATCTGGAAGGGGTGAAGCTGTGGGAGGCTGTGAGGGGTTGTGGCAAAAGGCGTCAGTCACATATGGTGTATATGCACGAACGTTTGCGCTCAACCACTTTCTTTTTTTCACTGGCCTGTGAATAAGTTGGCCATGTTTTTGAGGATCTTGAATGAAGGAGGTGTTTGGCAACATTGTCTAAGACTTAGATTTTTTTAACCCATGTAAAATTTACCTAGTACAGTGGAACTTGATAATCATGAGATTGTAAAAAGGGAAAACAATCTGGGTGTATTTGTCATTTTGCTGATTATGTTTTTCAACTTTGCATTGTCAAGTTACATTTAATGCCTCCAGTACCACATTGCCATTGGCATAAATTGATATCCCAATAGGAAGCACTCAGCACTGTATCCCCCCCCTCCCAAATGCTCTGTACATGACATATCAGTGCTAGCAAAATTGCCTGTAGCTCCTTTAGCCTTGGAGAGCAATGTGCTGTTGGGGCCAGTGCAATTATCATTTGACACAGCACAATTTAGCCGGAATCCAAGACAGCCCACAGCACTTTACCTTGGCAATTTATTGATATGACCTTTCACCTCAGTCTTATATTTCTAATCCATGCAATTGTGTGGGGTCAGGCCGGGGTTTGCGCAGAGGAAACAAAAGAGAAACCCAGAGGAGGCAGGCCTAGATTTGCCTCCAGTCAAATGTTTTGATTTGTCGTCGGAGGTTAATTTGACATTGAAGAGTTGGTTAATCAGAAGGTCCGTCAAATAAAAGCCAGCCATGTCACAAATAGTTTGTCGCAGCTGCAGTGCGTCAAATAGTAAATAATGGAGAGTGTTGAAAGAAAGTAGATAATGCATCCAGTTTTCAAAGTGGGCCATGAATCTTTCTATATGTTAATCAATAATCTATACACATGTTTTTTTATGGAGAGTGAGTAGTGTTTGGATCTGTCTGTCTTTCACGAGTTGCTGTATTTTGTATAGTTATGGTTAAATGTCTCCTGTTTAATGTGTGTACTGGGATATTTTTCTATTCTAGATGCCATATTGGCACTGGTAGACCGTCTGGAGGGACCAGTGAACATCGAGTTTGTCATGGAGCCCATTGACATCCGAATCTCAGAGGCCATCATGAACATGCAAGAAAATGCCATCACAGTCACAACCAAGGTTTGGAATAAAAACTTTTTTTCTCTCAGTGCTCCCGTCCTCTTTCCCCCCTCCCCCCCAAAAAAGAAAATTTACCTCCACCTTTTCATGTAGCCATGGCTTTCTACCTCCAGTCAGTCACCACTTGGTCAACCTAAGGCCTACCAAAACCTCCCTTAATCTCAAAACAAACGGACGTTACATGTACCTGTATGTGTTTGACACGTTCTTTTCTCAAAATGAAAATCCCTTTAAATCTAATGGATACTGACTAAAGTTTGGTAAATGATGACACCCCTGCTTTCCCTTTCCCAGCTCCATCCATTATCCTACAAACTTGCCTCTCAGCTTAAACGTGACCCCACAAACTTCCAAACCCCCCCCCATTGTTATCCCAGACTGCCTAACTAATCCCTCCCAAACCACCCAGTACATGCCGCTGTTCCTCCCTGTGGCTTTCCCCTCGATAACCTCGCTCTGCAGGCACCCAGACCATCTTTTTCTACCTTCTTCCTGGCCAGAGACGCAGTCCTCTGGAATTCCGGTGAAATCGAGCTCTCTCACCCCTGACCGCTGGGCAAGGCTGGGTTTCTCAGATGTGGGTTTGCCTGTGTAGCCTGTCGCCCCTACCCCCCCACCACCACCAGCCACTGCTCACCCCCTCAGTGTTTTGTCTGCCAGGTCCTTGGTTGTACCCTAAACCCTGCCACAACTCTGCCCCGGGGTTATTTTGAGTACAAGCAAAGGCAACATTGGGCCCACAAGCCCCTCAGTATACACGGGAGATTTGAACAGCTGGGACAGCGATAAGAGAGGGGAAAAATAAAGCGGATTGTTAAAAGGTGTCTGGTTTTCCCTAATGGAAAAGGGAAACTTCTCAGGAAATGTTGCAAAATTGCGAAATACTGTTACTCAGAGGCTGGCATACATGTACGTTTCAAAACAATGGTTTGGAATGAATAAACAATGTGTATTATTAGATTACTCCTTAGGGTGTTTCTGGTGTTTTCATAACAAGATCATGAGTGAAGTTCCTCTTTCTTTATTTTAAAAGAAAAAAAAGGTGAAGAATTCACGTCTCTAAGTTTTGCATAAAGCAGCGCACTTTCAATTTCCAGTTGCCCTTTTTGCAACCTTTTTTCCTTGATGAAATCAGAAATCATGCACATTGACAAGTGCATATTGAAAAGAACTGTTTTTTTTTACCACTCCATATGAAGGCCTAGTGTGACCACAAGCCCTGTGTTACTTCAGACCCGCCCATGAGCACCAGACCCCCAAATTGTCTGAGGCGATTGTGTACATTTCACACATGTAACCACTGTTTGTTCCCTTCTGTCTTCAGTCCTGAATGGGCCCAATTTATTTGGCAATTGCATGGCTATTAAAAGTGATGATTCACCCGGTTCAGGTTTCATTACGCCCTACTGGTACATCATAAAAGGCATATTTGGTGTTCCATGTCGAGATCCCGGGACCCCGCAATCCGGTGCTTGGTTACAATTGGCCGGAACTCCTCCATGTCTGAAGGAATGTGCAGTGCTTTCCCAGTGCTGCTAATTTCTAGTGGCTCATTGTCTGCAGTGTTAGAGGCACTTTGAACGGGGATCCCTGTTTTTTTTGGGGGGGGGGAATCGTTTCACTTTTCAGTTGGGCAAGGTGCTGCAACGGGGTAACTTGAGTGTGCGTCAGTCTATTGAATGAAGACCGAGTCAAGTATAGTTAGGGCACTTTTTTTTTGGTGAAAACGGTCGCAGCCAAATTCTAACCGTACCACGAGATAAAGATTGCATATGTCATGCCATAATGGCAGCTGTAGTGCAGTTTTATTACGCGTATGGTGCCAGTACATCAGACTCATCTCCCCCAGCCCCCACTGCCATTTCTCAGGACCTGCGTTGACTTCAAGTTCAGAGTGACCTACGCGGATGAGTAAAAAATATTTGAATTAAGATAACAGTGCAGTCAAATGAACCCAACCACTTGTATGTCACCAGAAAGGCACATAAACATTGGGAAAGTTCCCTTCCTATTTTCATTTTTTATTGCCCATGGAACGAGTGGTCATAATTCATACCATATCCTGCTCACTGTGTGTGCCGGTCCTTGAGACTGGCTGGGGTCAGCTTTTGATTTGGACCCATTGGAGTAGGCAGGTAGTTGTTATTTTCTGTGCGGACTGTACCTGCCAGGAATGCATGGAATGCACCTTAGGTGTCAGGAATAGTGGCCCTGGACTGCGTGCTTTTCCACTGACTGATCGTCGGGGCCGGGGAACAGGCTAAGCGTCCCAGTAGCTCAGGCTCACTCTTGCGCAGAGATCAGCAAGAAAGGGAAGGCAGACAGAGAAAGGGGGAAAAAAAGGATATGTATCGAAATGCTGAAACTGGAAGGAAAAAGAGCATGTTTTGAGGTTCAGGAATTTTTGGTCAGTCTCTCAGTCTCCTGGGGGTACGTGATGTGGGACCATCTACTCTGCATCTTTGGGTTATTTCCCTTGGTGAAGCAACACAAGGTAGGGAAATATTTTCCACAGTGGGCAAGGATTGTTTTTCAGAGAAAATTGCAGGATTAAAGGCAATGTAATATGATCTGCTCTGAAAATTGAACATTTGGTTGCTGTAGAGAAAATCAAACGGCAAAATATCGGTGTGTACTTTGAGCTGAGTAGGCAGTGGCCTAGTTTCCATCAACATTTGTAGTTTGCAAGGAAGATACTTCTGCCTGTATAAATTGTCCTTTTTGGGGGGAAAAGCATTACTGATGCATTGCTTATTCAAAGAGTGTAGGATTTTTTTTCCAAACCTACGCAGCCAAGAATTCTTTAAGTTAGCCCACATTTGGCTTGCTTTTTAACTATTTCTGAGAATTTGTAACTTTTTTTTGAAAGTGTCTTGCAGACCAATTGGCATGAAAACTTACAGTATTCACCATATGGTTGCTGTTCATTATCCTTCATGTTTACCATCCCAGATCCTACAAAATCATTGGGAGATTTTGGAATATTTTGTAAGGTTCAGAGGAGCTTGGACCCGAGCAGTTTGGCAGGGATCATGAAAGTTAAACAAATATTTTTGCATGGTGCTACCGCAAACCTTTACTTTACTTGCCACCTACACCATGAAATACTTCAAAGCTCATTAGAAAGTGCAGTGATGGCTTTTGGAACATTCAAAAAGTTCCCTGCAGAGTTCCAGCCATGAGCTGGGTTGACTGCCATCCTTGAAGTTGAGAATCCTGGAGGGAAATGATTGGTCTTACAACAGATTAGGGTTGTTTAGGCAGGGCTTAAACTATTTCAGGGACACTTTTTTCTCCCAACTGGCCTTTCCTGGGAATTAGGGAAATATAGGACTACTTTGACTTGAAGGACATTGAGGTTTCAAGAGCTGTGGAGGCTAGACACCGCAGGGCATTCAAGTCCCCTAATTTGACAAATTAACATTAGACCACAGGAGAATGACCTGAGGTCACCGCCCCGGCTATGACCCAGTTAGGTCACTAGTAGGTCAAGAATGCGCCTTTGACTCCCCAGAGGGAGGGGAAGGCTGTGGTCCTGCAGACACGGTGGAAAGTTTTCACTGCCTCTTCTGGGCTGTCTGTGGCAAACAAAGCAGGGGGCGGTTGCTTGGAGAGCGGAATGCCCCATCCTGTAAACATGCTGGGGTTTGGAAGGTGCTGATTATTTTGGAGGTGGGGGGAGGAGTCGACTAGTTGGATTGTGGGACATTGTTTTGGCAGTCCACTTGAGATGGAATTGGGGTTACTGTTTCCTCCAACTGGGTTAGGGACAATGAATCGGTTGAATTCCTGAGGTCTTTTTTTTTTCTTCAGATGGTCGACCGGTGCAGTGGAGGTTCAGTGTAGTGCCGGATTGTATCTTTCCAGAGTTGAAGGATTTATTCCCCCGTTTGACAGATTGGTTTCCTGTCTCTGTGGCCCCTCCAGCAGAACTGTTTAGATACCCAGTGGAACTTGTTACCTTTGGATAGTGCAAAAATGGACTTTGGGTGTAGGGTGTCACCTACTCCCACAAGGAGGGTCGGAAATATGGAGGAAGGAATAAATGACAAGCAGGCTGTTGGTATTCCAGAAGATTTACAACCACCCCATCTGGCTCAGTGGAGAGGAGTGTTTTGGGAAAAAGTAATCTGTGGTATTGTTAAACATGCGAGAGAGGTATTTCTACTGCTTGGCACGTAGGTTTATAGGTGGGATCATTTTGAAATAAACTCAGGGTCACCAAACATTTCTTTGAGTGAAAAAAGCATACAATGTAAACAGAATTAGAGTTTGATTTTGCTTTAAAGTTTGGACTGTATTTTTATAAGGGTATGCAAGCCCCAAACAAATGGTACGCGTAAGAGCATAAATCATGGGCAGGAAAACATTCATGTAACAAATGAAAACATGACTGTCAGGGCTTACTCCTCTGGTGGAAGAAAAAAATGTAATCATTCATGCTACCCACAGTAATTATAAATTCAATAGTTTGCCTGGCTTTGTGCCCTTGAGCGATAATTCTTACCAGTGCTGCCCCATCAATGAGGCAGATGAGTCATCAACTGCTGCCCATCTCCCATGTCTTTAAAGAGACGTTACCATGGCCCGCGACACTCGCTCTGTGTCTCTCTCGTGGCAATCTCTCCAAATCTCTACAGATGTTATTGTAATCACCCCCATCCGTCCACCCCCCTACCTTTTGCCTGGGACACTTGTGCTGGTGCTGATGTACGCGTGAGGTTTTTTTATCTCTTAATGTGAACTGTGTGGATTTTTTGTGTCTGTGAGGAGCGGAGGAGGTCATCTATTGGACAGGCCAATGGTCCAGCGATCGACCACGGGCGTTGACGTCTAGACCATGATGGACAGGAGAGAGAAGACCGTTCATGGAAAGGACAGAGACGGTTCATTTAATTTTGGTCATGGGGGAGGGATGACGTCATCGTTGTCTGGCTGCAACATGGACGGACTCCTGTCGTTTCTCATCAGCAGAGTGGTTTGGATAATTAGAGACGATGCCGCCAACATTACATTCCTCAAAGAAAAAAAGTGCAAGGCCCATGCAGTGTGTGTATGTTGGATGAAGGCGATTGCCCTTTCTCGAGAAATGTAGTCAGGCAAGATTTATGCAAAGAGAGATGAGATTGCGCAAGTTATGATTTGGGGGAAAAAAATGTGATAGGAAAATGATGCTGACGGACAAAGATGGACTTGTAAGTTTGAGGTAATGATGAGGTTTGATGACCGAGTTAATGATGCAGGCTACTCCGGGAGATCATGGATGTGTTGATTGCTTTTGAAGGTTTAAATGAGTTATGACTCATTCATTGTCCGTCCGACAGAAAAAAAGTGTTCTGTGTTTATGACAGTTTTGCACCATATCCAGTCGCAAGACAGTGCCACAGAATCGGACACAATTTAAAATGCACCAAAATTAGCAAGTTGTCGATGATGCATGGACAAGGTCATTGAGGTTGTAATTGATTTCTTGAAGGCAATTCATTTTTTCACTACCCAAAATTTGTTCCCAAATTGCCCCTTCTCCAGAGACGAGCTTGGTCAGTGTTGAAAGATGAGTAGCTTAAGATTTGCTCCCTCCAGGAACCGCGAGATCTTTGAACTCGTGGGAGTCACACTGTCCTCAAAATTGCCAGGCACTGCATGCGGTGCATGGTATCGTCAAATGGGCTTCGGGAGCTACGGCTACGTCTAATGTCTCTGTGTATTTCCAGTGGAGCAAAGACCCAGACCTAGCGGTAGACAACTTTCGGACGCAGCCTGGAAGTGCAGTCGAGATTCCAGTTCAGAGCTTAGAAACATTTCCTTTTTTAATTTGGGCCTAGCCGCCTGAGTTTAGCACCGACTGCGTTGATTATTCCAAACATAGCTTTTGTGCAAAGTGAACACGTCAGTCAAGACTTAATTCTTGCGATAGCTCAGTGCATCGTTGAGAGTCACACATGCGTGTGATTTTCATTTTAATTTTTTTTTATGAGCAGACGTGGGAGTTTCTCTCTCAGTATTTATCTTTATGCCCCCTTGGTGCTTAACAGCAAGATATAAAAAGGTTTCTTGTCGAGCGTCGCACAGCAAGGAAATGACATGTGAAGACAAGCACTTCAGCTATGGCATCCCATTGTCAAGGTTGGCCTATGACAAGTGACCCTCTCGAGCGCAATTAACATCCCCCATTGAGTCATGCTGTGAATGCATTGTAATATGAGGTTTTTTTTTTCCTTTTTGCTGTGCGATTCTCCCCTGGTGCAGTAGGAGCAGTAATTTCTGCTGTGAAAGAATTTCTGCCCATTCTTTAAACACTGCAGTCGCACTGCGATGGGTAATCATGCAAAACTACCGGCATCTTTTTCATGCAAAACTCTCTTTTTCACATAGTTTGTGCATTTCGTTTCAGTGACAGAGATCTTCCTGTTGAAAATATATAAATTGTAATTTTGTAATCTTCCCTTATATGGGAGGTGTATGACTCGGCTGTCATTAGGCTAGTATCAGATGATATCGATGAGTTATCAATATCGCTGGCATTTCACAACTTGCAGACGTGTCTAGCCTTGCTGGACAGCTGGATACCGAGACCTACTGTTGACCCTGTGCCACCCAGCTCCTGGCTTTGAAAACTCCGCCGTGTTTATCTTGGGCATTAAAGATCAGGCATCCCCCATCTCCTCCCCCCCCCCCCAGATTAACGGTTTCCAAAGGATTTTGTCTCCCAGCAGGAGTGGATCGAAATAATAGCAGGATCGGTTTTTTTTTTTTTTTTTTTCTCCAGTTTTCCCAAAAGGTTGGGAAGAGGAATAATCTCTACAGGTTGAGCAGTGGTGGTTGGAAATGAAAGTGTAACATTGCCGCCACAGGGGCTGCTGGATGAAGAAAACTGCGATCAACTGGCGGCAGCCGTCTGGAATTTTTTGGGTTATTATTCCTAGGGAGCTTTCCCCCACACAGTCAGTGACTGTTGGGACTTGGCAGTAGTGAAGGTAGATAGGTAGGTTGATGCCTATGCAAATATGTCCATGATGTCCCCCCATCCATTCGAATAATGCAGCAGAGATGGCCATAATATTCTAGTCTTTGTTCCTCCTCCGAATGCAATGACTTTGGGCATTCGCTAAAATGGCGCTTTGGAGGCACCGCCTGTTCTGAAAACAGACATGTGCAAACATGCCCTCAACTGAGAGGTTTTGTCCGGGCGAGTGTTGCTGGGGTTACTGTGTTGTCTCTTTGTCGCACCGTGCACAGTTAGACTTGTTTTGTGAGGGCTTGTTGTGCGCCCTTGGGTCCTTTGCATGCGGATGCGCTTCAGGCAATCAGAGGTCAAGAATCTTGCTGGCACTGCCTCGACGGTGGTGTCTCTGCGATCTACCTCCTCCACTCTTCCCGATTGCTTCTCCTGTCTTGGTACATGTACACTGTAGGTCAGCTGACCTTTCGCCAAATACCTCGAGTGCGTTGCGAGGTGGCATTGTTGACGCTAATTTCTCAAACCCCCTTGTCCCCTCCATCAGCGTGATTAACGCTTTAATAGGACCCTCTCTCCCTCAGTCGCGGTAGCCGTGCTCTCTCGGAAAATATTTACATACAGAAAAGGGAAGGTGTCGCAGGTCTCTCGATAAATAATGCAGTCTCTGATTCACCGGATTCCATCAAAGGGTAGCGTTGTATGCACAACGCGTCATGGGTGGTTGCTCATTTATATAGCGGTAAAGACTTGCCGTGCCTGGACTGAAGTGATCGAGGTCAGGAGTGGGCAGCAACCTTATCTATCTTTCACTGTGACTGAGGTACACATCCTACTCTAGTCTGTACGAATTGGTTATTTTTGAATGGTTGTGCATTGGCATCTCTTCTGTCACTCTCTGGCCTTTGTCTACAATGTGTCTGTCCTTGTTTTGTCTGACCTGATGTGGTAGCTTGCCAATTACTGTTTCTTTACTGTTGAGCTTTTGAGAAAGATTTCATCGACATGTGATCATCAAAGATTCCCCGCTCCTGACAACATATTTTTCGCTGACACAGTGGGACATCTTGAAGGTCTGGAACTGAGAAGTAAAATGTGAAGGACTGTGGTAATTCTGGTAGAAATGCTTTGTCTAGTCCATTGACCTCTTTTCTCATGGTTTTGCAGGTTTTCACCGGGTGTGGCAAGCCCCGCCTGAAATCTCGGCTGACTAGGCGAGATGCAGACACAGAGGAAGCTACTCTACCAGCTGGCAATGTCACGGCTGGGGCTGAAGATGGAGCTAGCACTGAGGGAGCCCCCGTTGGAGAACACGAGGCTGCTACCGGACGGGAGGCTGCCGGCGAGCGCCCCCCTGAAGGCCAACGTGAGGCCGCGGCCGGGCGTGGCGCCGACCAGCGCGCCCCCAGCACCAGGAGGCAGAGGCAGCGGGGGCGGGACCCGGGGCGGGGTCAAGGCCGGGGGCGGGACCAGGACCGCGGACCCCACCGCACCACGCCGGCCGACAACGTGCCCACCATGGAGAAGCTGGTCAAAGACGTCCGCAGCAACCTGCGAGAGACCAAGGGTTTCTGGACGCTGCTGCCCTACATGTTCTGTGACGACGTTGCAGCTGATGTGGCCGTGGAGAACATGTGCTGGAATGGGCACTCCAAGGGCAGGTGAGTAATAGGAGGAAACCAGTTGATATTGACCCTAGTGCCAAGGATCTACTCGGTAGAATATAAACCTGCTAAGCTGGTTTACTCGCTAACCACAGATACGCCAAGAACTTGTCGCAAATAGCATTGGACTGTGTCCAACTTACCTGGCTTTGGCTTGAGATTGCATTTCATCCAAGGCTATGATGGTGACTGTAGCCACTTCCCACAGAGTTACGTGAAATTGCAAGTCGCAGTCACGTAAGATGGACATGGCATTACGTGACACTTAGGATGGTAAGTGATATTATCTGAGAAAATCATCAGTCTCAGTGGCTCCGTGAGTTTGGCCCCCCAATATCCGTCATCATCACGTTCCTTAACTTGGATAGTTTGAAAGGGAACTTGACTTGTAGTCTCTCGTGTTTCCTTTCTACTCAGTTACACACATCCTCCTGTTGGCAACGGCATAGCCAATCAGGTGGATAACCCAGAGGTTCCCATGGAGACAGCCCCACCCAACTTCCTCATCAACAAGCACATCACTTCCCTGCGCACCATCACCAGTCGGCTGAATGGCGCCTTCAACGGGGAGGACGTCGAATGGGTTGACAGTAAGTAATACTTTTCCAGTAATGAAAGTGCCAACCCTTGTCAAGTCCAAGGTGCAGTCTTGCGTTAATGCGTTGTCGCCCGTTTCAGAAACTGATATCTTGACATCGGGCTTGTGTTGGGTCGGGTTCACCAGCGAGGTTGTTTGGGCAGCCCTGATGTGTTGAAGAGAAGGTTCGCCAGCACACCGCAGTAAAGGATGAATGAATGTGCTTGAATCTAAAATCCTTGCCTGTGGTTTCCCTGTTGGACTCCATCTAATATGGCACATTACTGTAAAGAATGCTTTTCTTTTTCACTGTTTGGCAGTTTAGAATGCATCCTCAGTTGTGGTATATCCGCCCAACAACTTTTTTAGACTGTTGTGCACCATTATGTCCAGTCCTGAAGACTATCCGTGTTTATTTGAAACGCTCATCTCTTCACTTTTTTTCGTCCACTTTTGTTTCTGTGTCAACAGCCGAACCCTATAGCAGCGGCTCGGGGAGTGGAAGTGGCTCTGGTGATGGCATAGAAGGCGGGAACGAGGTTGGAGTCATCGGGGCCAATGAGGTGGACTTCACAGAGGTGGAGGACCCAATCTATCGGCCCACCCGGAAACCCAACAGTGCCCCGTCGTTATGCGTAGGTTATGCAACTCGGTGGCTTCTCAGTGTGTGCGCAACGACCGTTTTTGCTTTCCGTTTGTTGTGGTAGTGACAGGGTACGTGTCCTTTTCTTCGTTGTTGCTTGTAGATGTCATGAAGTTCATTTTGTTGAGTGTTTTTTGCTTTTTAAAAAGATACAGAAACACGGGAACAGATATTTGGTGCTGAACCACATGGGTAAAAATGATTACTTTCATATTTAGAGACCCTTTTAGGGGAAAACTCAAGTTGGCGTGAAAGAAATGCCCCAACCTCGAGTCCAAAAAGAATCATAAGTGATATTGTGTGTGTCATAATCAAGGATTCTCTAGTGTGATGTTGTGATGATGTCATCAGATGTTGTGATGATGTCATTAGATGTTGTGATGATGTCGTCAGATGTTGTGATGATGTCATCAAGCAGCGACAACCACATTGTATTTCGAGGTGAAAGCATTTTTGTATCGGGTTGTATCTTTGGTAACTAACATTTACTCCATCTAGGGCTCAAAATCAAAGTTGAGGAATAAATTGGAGCCGTTTTTTTTCCCCCCATGCAAAATACTTCTCCTACTGAAAACTTTACTTTTTCAGAGGAAATTTAAATTGTACCATGCTCATTACAGACGATAATTTCATACTCTTTAAAAGGGTCCCTTTTGTAATGAAAAGAAAAGCTTTTTGTAAAAAAAAAAAGAGTAAAATGCTGCATGGTATGCATTTTAATTAATATTTATTCCCAAGTTATTTTTAAGTTCTAGTCACAAAGATATTAGACATTTGATGCAGTGACTAGAAAGGGTTAATTTTTGGACTCCAAATGGAAATGAGTTTGTGGACAAAAACATGAGAGCTTTCTAATTGTCTGCAATTATCATTATGCATTGCAGCTTGATGAAAGAGAGTTTTAATCAATTAAGCCAGCATTGCTTACAGTCAAACTGGAATTTGTTTTTAATCCAACCAAAATGATGTAATTGGTATTTTAGAGAATTTTTATCAACCTGTTTGTCGTGCATATTCCAATGATTAAATTACAGTGGCTTTTTCGATACAAAAGTAGCTTAGAGTGTGAGCTTTTTGTAGTTTTTGCTTCAATTCATGATTGCTTTTAAATGTTTATCAAATCAAACAAACATGTATCAGTTGAAAAAAAAAGTTGCCCAGCTGGGAAAACTGATTATCATATTACATGGATTGAAACCGATCCTTAAAGCATTTTGATTTGTGTATTTGATTGTGCGTACACGTTTATGCTGAAGACCATTTGTTGTGGTGCTTCTTCAGCATTCTTCCCCAGCAAGGCATTATGGGACTGAACTGTGAGAGAATCTGTTAGAATTCTTGTACATTTGACATTGAAAATTAATCATTTTTGATGTATATTATTGTATTATGTACCTCAGTTTTGATGGTCAACATTGTTTTTATGGGCTCTCAAAATCTTGAGTTAAAGTGAAAGTTTGAGAAATTCTTCTTTTGTTAATTTAGAATGCCTTCGTCTGTAATGACTGTCGTCATCAACATTTCCAAAATAATTGAGTGAAGTGTTTGTTTACAGATGAGCAGGTTTTGTTGGGTAAGGTAATTTAGAAATTTGGGAAGCACGGGAACTTCATGAAAACTTAAATCAAGTCGCGGAATTTCACTTCTGTATAGTTCACACGGACGATGTCTGGATTGTTTGTCTCGTGTCTTGTTTGGAGACACGCTTTATGAGTTATCCAATAAGACAACGTTTTTCTTGACCCGTATTTATTGGACATATTTCTTTAAAAAAAAAATCCATCATCAGCAGTATTTGATGCAGAAATGTAACTGAAAATGATAATAATAAAAAAACACACTTAAATAAGGGCTTGTTTAAAACCAAAGCTATGCAAAGTTTGCATGCCACCATGTGAGTGTTATGGTATAATTTGAAGTAAACCGTTTTTGTACTTTTGTATTGTTTCTGATTTGTGTTCCCCCCTCCTCAGTATTGTAGAAGTCTACAAAGCTGTACGCGTAACATGCTCCGTCACATGTCATGTTCCTCTGTTTTTGCACCTGCTGTTTTCACGGGTCTTACTTTGGCCACAATAACCGGAATGTGCCACTGTTTAATAGCAGCATAGTCAATCAGTGTGATACTCACTCTCAGCATCAATGGCTGACTGTCCGGACAGCCTGAGTGACAGATTTAGACCGCTGAAGAATTCTCGTGAAAGCTCGCTGGATCTCGTTGTCTTGCTGTTCTTTGCTTTGAGGCCGTGGCAGTGCACCCACGTTGATATCACTCCCCAAGCTTACAACAGAGTAGTGTTGTGTCCTTATGACCTGTAGGGAACCAATGAAATACAAATCCAGTGCAGTTGAAGTCAACCAGCTTGTTCTAAAGTAGTTTTGTCAATGTTTTATGTTTCTGGCTCACCTCTTTAGTTGGACAAACCGTATCATGCTTAGCAAGCGACAATTCACCTATCTGTAAAGCTTTTTGTTTGAATGTACAGTTAACGCACTGCCTGTAGAGCTAAAATACCTCATGTAAGCGTTTTTATCAAAGCGGTGAAGTACTTTTTAACCAAATGTTTTTGTTATATTATTGGTCGCTGTGTTGTTGGCACTGAGTGTTTCATCGAGTTGTAACTGAAGAAAATCTTAACTGAAAGAAAAAAAAAACAAAACAAAAAAAACAACTGATTAAAAGGTGGACCATAAAGTGTGGGTTTGCAACATGTGAATATGTACAGAATTAATAGATGTTGATTAAAGAGACAGGCGAGAGGAGAGTCTGTGAGAGAGTGAGAGTATGAGAGTGTCACCAATGAAGAGAACAATCTCTGTATTTTAAACAAAAGAAAAACCATGACGACTTGTAACTATTTACTACTTAAAAACTTTAAACTAAAAAAAATGTGTAAAAGTAAGATTTTTTTGTATTGAAGCTAGCTGCTGTAGAGAAGATTAGTTTTGTGTAACTTATTCAAAGTTTGGAAGTATACATATCTGATGGAGTTTGGTTTTCGTTTATCAAACGGAAAAGGAGAGGTTTTACTTTTTGTGGAAGATTTTTTTTGTTGTTGTTGTAAAAATGGATACAGGTATAATACCTCGAATATCCCCCCAGCCTGATCCTAAAAAAGGGCAAGGGAAGTTTGAAGCCGCCAGTATTTTTAACAGGGTAGAATTATTCAAGCTAGTTCTTTTTCTTTTCTGGCATAGAGAGGAATGCCTCTGATTCAAAACTCAACTGGGGGAGATTGTTCAAGAGAATTAATTGCAGGAAATGTTACGCGTTTGTGTAATGGTGTTTTTGATACCGTGTGTGGAGAAAATTGTCACAGTGGAAGAAGAAAAAAAATTAAACAAGAACTGTGTTGTTTCCAGTCGTATATACAGTCAAGATTTTAAAATGAAAGTGCAGTCGGAAAATTTGTGGAAAAAAAAATGCACTTCATTTCTCATGACGAACGGGGGGCCAAATGCCCACAGTTGTAAACATTCTTTGAAACAGAAGTCTGCACTGTAATTTTTCACGGCACCGGACGCTATTTTTTGGACGGTACAAGTTGTATGATCGGCTTGAGCTTGTGGTTGTGCATTGGTAGTTGGTACTTGGGTGTTGTCAAATTCGTGAACTGTACAGATTTTAAATCAACTTTTGTCATGTGTGGTCACACGAGGGCGCCATTACTTGGCGGGGGGAATGCCAAGGGAGGGCGCTGTATTACATGTAAACTAAAAAAAGGTAATTGCCTGTTGGACAAGCACATTGAACCTTGCAGTTATCATGCTTGTGCAAGGGGCAGGACTTGCAAAAAGCTGTATAAAGAGAGATGTGGTAAGGAAACTAACTTATGAAAAGAGGGCACATTTGACTAGTCATATTCTTTAAAGAACATTGCGAAACAGCAGTTACCAAACTCTGTTGATTTGGTAAGCTCCAAAATGATTTTCCTTTGAAAGTTAATGCTTGTTAACGTCTTGATAAATCCATTTTAGCAACTCTCTGTATACAGCCTTTCATGGGCACATGATGAGAGCCCTCTAGATGTACAATTTTGTCAGGTGAGAAAGATATGCCAGTCATGTGTTCCTGTAAACATTTTCAAAATGAGCGCTCCCATTGGACTGTTTCCTAAGCAACAATTGCCAAGTATTATTATCCAAGTTTAATTTAAATTTGCTTGTTTCTGCTAACTTTGATTTAACTGCTAAAATTGGAGCAGGCCTAAACTAGATTTTCTTTTTAAATTATAACAGCCAACAGTAAGCCTTTAGTGTTGTGTACAAAATGCTAGTTTATTAAAGTTTTTATATCCTGACCTTTCCGGAGATATATTGTCCTTCCTTACCGACCGATAGAAACACAACAGTTTAACCAAAACTAGGAACCTAGAATGATCTTTGGCATGTATTAACATGGGTTTACAAAAAGAAAAAAATCTAAGTTGTTTACCTGTTTACCTCTGTAATTCACATTAGAAGTTTTACACTAGTGTTCATAAAATTGGGGTATATTGTTGGAACGCAGTTTCAAAGAATTTAGAATTTCACAGAAAGGTGTCAATGGGATGACAAAGTGAAAGGCATGGACAGTCCGCAATGAATTTATGAAAAATTTCGTGGAGAGCACATCAAGAACTAGAAGTCATTCGAATTAATCTAATGTAAAAGTTGTGTATTTCGTTCGCCCCTGAAAAACCCTGAAAATCTGAAGGCTTTACATCTTTTGTAAATATATCTGCTCCAATGTTGTGTTCTGTAAAGTATTTCTGTTGTTTGGCCTCCCACCATCTTGTCTGGCTCCCTGACACTTGCTGTTAATAAAGGCTCTATTTAAAGGACATCTGACTCCTTTTAAAATTTTTTTTTTTATAATGTCACGAGTCTTGTTTTCCACATGTTGTATGTGGGGGTGACCGTAGGGGAACATAACCTTCATCGGCGAGCGCGAAACCGTAATGACGTGGGGTCTTGGGCGCGCTTAAGGGCCGGGTGTCGGCAGATTTTGGATTCTAGATGCTCCTGGGTGTGATCTAAGGGAGTTTCTGACCACTTTAACCATTTGTAAAGCAAACACTTTTTCAAGATTTTCAAAACTTTGAACACTTCACAAAACTTTCAAAGCTTTCAATATTTTGAACGTGAGTGAGGAAACAAAGGAGGGAGAAACGGCATAACATTCCCCTTCTTTAAATGGGGGACATGTCCCCAATGACTGACGTCCGTGACGTTCTGTTTAGTGATTGGACGAAAAGTTGCAGTCATTCGCACGTTCGAAAGAAACAAAACAGTTACATCCATCATTCACTTCATGACGTGTACCTGGTCGTTCATGATAAACGTTTTCATTGGTGGAATGTGTTTGTGTCCATGTGTGCAGTGGACGTACTGCGCAGGTATCTTCAATGATTTTTGATCTCAGAACCACACACACACTCACAAAAGGAGAAATTTATCCACGTGGTGTCACCGTAAAGTTGTCCACAGATTTTTGATCTCAGCTGACAGTTTCGTATCTTTGCTCAATCGCCCGTTCCGAAAAGTGGAATTTCTCTTAATGTGTATGTGATTTATGCAAAGTTTTACAGCGCCATCAGTTATATCCATTGTCAGAATAGTAACATCATTGAACGCTGTGGATATTTCTTGATTCATTGAAGTAGGGCCCTACGTGAATTTCATTGGCTGTTGTAAACAAAATCTGCATATCAGTATGCGCGGCGCAGCGGGTGCGGGTGTGCGGCTGATTGGAAGCACCTACACGTGATGTGTTAGCTTTGTTTTCAGGTATTATTGTGGATCTAGAGAGATTTTTGGCGGCCGTTTTGTCGGCTGTTGTTCCAGGATGTTCATCGTTGGACCTTAACTGACATGGCTGAAATTCAGGATGGTGTATCTGGAGTTTACAAGTCCACGGAGAGTAAGCCTTCCTCTGTCCGGTAAGATCGAAAGAATTAACAAATTTGGAGTTGAAATGCCAATGGTCGCACGCCGTCAGCTGGTTAGTATTTTACGTGTGCTAAACTGCTAAAGTAAAATTTTGTTGTGAGTTCTGAGAAGGCCATATTTTAGCACTACTCAACATTTGTGTCGTGAAATATTTAGTATTATTATTTATAACAAATACTAAATAATATGAACGAAAGTGAGTTTAAGACAGGCTTACTGGAAAATTGTTCTCATTTTTAATCTGTTGTTTTCACCCTCCATGAGCAGTTTTTTGGTATATGCCCTATTCTATGAAGCTCTAGAATTTGCTCATTTCTATGAGTTTCCTTGACAAGTAACCCAGGCACCAGAGACTTGCCACTTCCTAGCACCTTGGGTTATTAGTATCAATTCCAAAAGTTTGTATGCTAGTCCTTTGCTGTGTCTTCCCACTATTCTCCGCTTTCCATGTGGACCATAACATAAGACGAGGGGAAAGTGCGGTAGTCAGTACTGCACTGCTATGGCGCACTTAGTTTGCGCAGTGCGCCCTCACAAGTTCTCAACTAGCAGAACTCATTTGGCAGTGGCGGAGTTGTTACAATTATATTGAGAGGCAGTTTAAAGTATTCACTCAACACTCCAAAAGCCCACCTACTCAAAACTATCACCGAAGCACAAAACATTTAATACCAGTACCATTTACATCTTTTGAGTCTGCTACACTTATACTAATATACTTTCAGTCAGTTTTTACACAAACTAATTTTTCCTTTCCTATGCTCGACAAAGTCATACCCCCATGCCGGATGTTAACATAAACAAATCAGGTGTGCTCAAGTTATTAGAAAAATTAAAACAAGGAAAAGCTGCAGGCCCAGACAACATCAGCCCATGAGTTCTGAAGGAATTGTCCGGGGAACTGGTACACCCACTTGTATTAATATTTCGGAAGTCACTTCATGACGGGTAAAGTACAGGCTGATTGGAAACATGGCAACATTACTCCCATCTTCAAGAAATCTCGGAAATCTTTTCCATCGAATTATCGTCCTATCAGCCTTACATGTGTGACATCGACATCCAAATTTATGGAGCATATTCTGTTCAGTAACATCATGCAACACGCCAGCTCTCATAATGTATTGTACCCACTTCAGCACCAATTTCGTGTCGAAATGTCATGTGAAACCCAGCTCAATCAGTTCATTAACAACATTGCTAGTAACACGCAGAGAGGTTTATAGACTGACGTGTGTGTCCTTGATTTCCCCAAGGCATTTGATAAGGTCGGGCATCGTAGACTTCCAGAAAAGCTCCCGTGGTATGGCATAACAGGATCAACATATAAATTGATTGCAAGTTTACCGAGCAACAGATCCCAAGCAGTGCTCATAGATGGAGCCATGTCACCTCTGGCACAGTCCCAGTCATCTCTGGGTTACCACTGGGGTCAGTACTACTACTTGGGCCATGTCTCTTTCTGTCAACAGTTGGTTGTTGTTGACATGCTTTTCGAGTCTTAAGAATCTTGAATTTTGCTCTTGCCTGAACAGAGAACTCCCAAGCTTACAAAATTCCATTCTGCTGGAGGGATTATTATCGGCTGTCCTTCTTCCCCTGCACTCCGACTCAACGGACAGGGCTTCCCAAATTATTTGTGGAGGCTCATAGCCCCTGAAGAGTTTAAGCAAATACTAGCAAATGGGTCTCCGATGATAAACCAGAAGGCCATTCTTTCCAAAATGCACTCCATCCACAATCTGCTCATCCCGAGTCTTCAAGTACATGAAGTTGGCCCACCACCTGGACGAAAACTTCTCATTTACTATTTCATAATTGACTCTCACATGCAGAAAACGTTAAATCTTTCATTGACTTCAACTGGCTTGCATCATTTTCATTTGGTCCAATCTTCATAATTTCTTCGCACTCCCACTTTCTGTTCTCAAAAAAGTATTTAAATTACAATTTAACAAAGTAAATTCTTGTGGGAAAAAAGAGAAATTTAGAAAACAATGAACTCTGTTTTAGGTTTTGTTGGTTTCAATTTATTACTTCATTTGTTACCATATTTTAAATAATAAGAATGGAATAGTTTTATTGAGATCATATATTTCTCAAAATGCTGCCGCTACTAATTACAAGTCAGTTTACTTGGCTACATAGCAGTTACATCTCAAAAACAATTCCAGCTGTGGAAATACCATTACCATTTCATTATCTTGCTACAACAAATCACTTAAGAGACAGACTATTATGAGAAAAAATAGCAATGACCAGGGAATATACCATAAAATGGAAAGGGGTGTTGGGGGAAAATGAAAGTAAAATTCTAGAACTAACCCGTTGGAAATCCATCAAATATTGACTTCTTTTGACTCTCTTTCTAAAAGGGGTATTTATGAATGGGATTTCATATGTGCTTGGTCAGTCTTTAGCGTTTAAGACTGGCTCAGGAGACTGAACGCCCGGTGGCTTGGGCATTAGTCCCGTCCATTCTGGTCTTAAACCCACATTTAAGACTGGCCCTGCACATATTTATTCCCTTATTTCTTTTCATACCATTTATAACAACTATTAACCATCCAAGAGGCTTTGAGTGTTTTACGCGATATCCGCAGCATGCAGTGACCAAAATCATCAAAGAAGAAAAATAGCAAATGATTCAACAAAAATTCAACCTGCTGTACCAGACAGCATCACAATACAAAACCACTCTTGAAATGAGATCAATACCATTGTAGATTATTAATCTAGGTTAACATGACCTAGATTAATGCTTTAAGTTTATGGCAAACTGAAACAAGAAAATAAATAAGACGCACTTAACTGGTCGATGTAAATCAACCCAGCATCCTTTAGAAGAGGTTTCCACATTGGAATTTGAAAAGTGGGTGAGTTCTTGGGGTTTACAGTTTGAGAACTGAATTCAGGAAAATTTAGACCTAAGAAGACACACACTACAGAACTTTTTGCTATCTGTTTCACATAATTTCTGGAGAGTTTATGACATAAACACAATAAACTCAAATCAGAGTTCCAAGCTCTGAACGTGCGACATGCATTCTCATTCGGTTGTGCTCCCTTTACAACCCCACCCCAAAACAATGATATTAAATTCACAGGTTAACAGACATACATGTACACAGTACCAAATTAAATACTCCAGCAATGCTGCCGTCCCCTGTGCTTCACATTTTCAAAAGGCCTATACTTTTACATATGGACACTTTCAAATGGAGGTTCAAATTCGATGCTCCCATCTGCCACCTCTAAGCAAAGACGCCGTCAGTACGCAAGCCTGTTAAAGATTATTCAACACATTGCGGTAATTTTTACAAATGCATAATTAAACACAACTCCTGTCTTAAGAGCGCTCACAGAGCATTTATTTTGCCTCAAGTGGCAATTGTACGGAAACTGTGAGCACTCTCTGGTGCCCTCTTGCTAAACACACAAAGTCGCTGTGGCCTCATCCACCTTCCACCTCTCCTTCCACTCTGCATCTCAGATACGGACAGAGGCCGTGTCCGAAACGGGCTTCCAGCGCTACGGCTAGGTCTACTGTCTGCGCGTTTCCACGCCTTTTCATTGGAGCGAGGACCTAGACCTAGCTCGAGACAAGAGATTCAGATACAGCCAGAAGCTGTGTTTCACACTATCTTATCATGCCTTAAAGATGCAAGGGCGCCCTCAATGGCTGAGCGCAGAAACACTGGTTTCACATCCTAGAAACTGTGGTTGATAAACACTGAGCTACAACACTGGCAACAATAAAATAAATGGGCATTTGTTCAATATCTGTCACTTGAACTGACCTCTCCCTCTTGTAATTAAGTGGTTCAAACTGACAGGTTTATGACACACTGAACCTCACATTCTGGTGGGCAATGTTAGCCTACGGGCAACACACATTCAATGGCACCCGCAGCTCGTTACCCCCCGTGTGCAAAAAGACACTTTACATAAAAACCCACAGGGCAATGTTTCAAACAAAGTATGACTCACTTCCGCTTGCAATGACGGCCCAAGAGAAGAAAGCTCGACAAATGAGGTGAAGAACAGATCACAAGATGCCTTTTATTTTTGGCAAAGCTAGAGCACCTCCTGCACGTGTCAATGTAACCCTGTGAATGTCTCTAGTGAGCATATGACGGGTGAATGTTTAAGCTGTGCCAGGACACATTTCAGGCAGTTCCTAAGTGACCATGGGACTGTCTGTTACTCTCTCCAGCTTTTCAAAGTGTTTCCGGGCATTCTTGATGTTGATGAGAGTGGCAGCTGATGCTGTTGAGAGAAGAAAAGTTTAATAATAATTTAAACTTGACAAATTGGAACCAAAATATTCAGTGTCGTACCGATACACAACAATGGAGAGTATATAACCTACAGAGTTGTAGAATTTCTACAAGAACCAGGGGCAGGTGATTTTTCACTGGAAGACAAATATCCGATGATAAGAGGAGAGGGTTATTATCCCCACCCCCCCAAGGGTGTACATAAAATCGTACTGTAATTGGAGGATTTGGGACTGTTAGGGTTACTTACTCATTAATTAACTAATAGGGTTACCGTGTGGATGCCTTGCTGGATGTAAATGAGGTTCTTTGTTTAATTATAGGCCACCCCCCCATAAATTCTACTCATCTTGAAAGCCCGAGGAAAACATTTCACATTAATGTTTCCATCATCAATGAAATGGAAAACATGAAATACCTGTGTATAATATAGACATTTCTAAACACTGAGCTTACTTCCGATAAAATTTGGTATTCAACCACTTAAGTTGAATGCTGCCCTCCTTTGGCCGAACTACTTTATGCCATTTTAATACAAACTGGAAACTCACAACAGAAGAGCCAGTGCCCTGTCCAATGACAGACAACCATGATGTCATTATTAGCAGGTGAACCATTGAGTCTTTTGATAACATTATAGATCAAAAGTGTACCTTTGGAACGCAGACAGCTACAAAAAACTGTCCATTTCTCTCAAGTGCAAAATTTATAAGCCTCTCAGTGCTACAACCTATACCAATCCTGGCCTCTCAGGCCAGAGATACTTACGTATTGATGGATCCGACATGATGACCATCACGTACGTATTTGATGTGAACACGTCAATGAATGCTGCAAATGCCGAATTCTTCACCTCCATGCTCTGGAACGATGCCGCAAGTTTGCTACAGGGAAAAACCACAGCAGATCGTCAAATGTGATGTCTCATGTTTTTGAAGTAGAGAGAAATCATCACCTCTACATCGACATAAGCATTATTGTCTCCATTGTCTTCTTGTCTGGTATTGGTTGGCAGTATTGCTAATTTTTTTTTCTCAACAGAAAAGTCAGGATGACTGTAACGCTGCTCCGATAATCCCATCTCTCTGCATTTTGTGCCGGTCCAACTGTCCTCCCTAACTGTCGTCCTCACCTGCAGCTAAGCTTGAACTGCTTGATGATGTTGCTAATCTTCTCGAATCGGTGTACATCTCTCTGGAACTTCCTTTGACAATGTGAGATTACCTGAAACCGATGGCGCAGAGGGAAACCTTTGAAAGATATCCAGTTACTTCAGGCCTCACATATGGGGTGGGACACTGGAGAAATGTTTGGGACAGATAAGGAAGATAAGGACTGAAACTGTACCACAGCTGAGTTGCATGTTTCCCGACTTACGCTGCACTTGTGAACAACGACACATCGCATCTATCCATTTGCGTGATAATTCGAGAGGGTCAGGTTTGGAGCATGCTACTTAAAAGACTTTTTGAACAAGCTTTGGCAGACTATGTGTCTTGGTGTACTTTGTGTTCCATGCTACGTTACAACTGCAGTGCATGTAAATCAAAGCACCCTCTGTGTTGACAAGGCCAGGAGTTTATTAGCTGATATTATGCACATAAATAATGACATTAGCCGCTCCCAACTCATGTAAAGCAATCAACCAGACACGACAGTGATGGTACCGCATGGCTAAAAGAATTAACCTTTGCAGAGATTCAAGACTTCCTCCCTGGTTAGACCTTCAGTACTCACGACTAATTTAAGGGGATATGTCCGGTTTATGTGTGAAATTAAAGTCCTTCAAGGAAGCTGACAGGTACCTGGCCTTGCTTGGAGTGGGTCTTTTGTGGTATTGAATTGTGGCATGGTCCCTTTCATCATGGATTTTTATTCACAATGAATAAAGTGGAAAGGGCTTGGTAATCAAATTTAATGCCATTCAAACTACACGAACACCCAAAAGCATTTCATATTTGTGGGAAATACACAATTTTCTGCATAAAGAATTCATTGGGTAATTTTTGAGGATCTGCCCTTGTTCTGTGCTAGTATAACCTGAATTGAAAATCCACCCGGATTGACTGACAAGATCAGGTTTTGTTTTCTGAGACTGTAATTTTTTAACACATTCTCTTTGACTTTGTCAGGTTTGCAACTGCATTTCACAGAACCTTTTCTTTCAAACAAAAAGGTTACACCTTCACGGCTTATTTTAAAGTTGGCTGGAAATCTTCAACGCCGTATCAGGTGTTTCAAATGATGAATGGATTCCAGTTTTCATGCTGCTCAGCTTAGTATCAACTGCAGTGCCCAATTACCGTGTGTTATTCTGTCACATACAATGTGCACTTGACAAGTGCGGCCAAGACAATGGATCATTCATTACCCAAGGCCCAAATCTGTTATTTTACTCTCAGGCAGTTGGAGTCCCTTCTGTTGTCTCACTTTCGCTTCTATTGGCTTACTACAGTTACTGCCACACTAGTGTCTTTGTTCTTAAAAACAACAGAGTGAATGTAGTGATAAGTCGGTATCCTAATTTTAGCAACGAAATCCCAAACTACCTTTGATTTTGAAGTGGTAAAAAAAAAAGATTAGAACTTTAGCAGCAATTCTCCAGATTGCACCTGAAGTTGCTCTTACCAAGAATGTGGCCCTTTCAAATAGTAAGACCTCATCGGCATCAATGATCTCTGCAAACTGCTGTAGGTTGGACTCCAGTTGCTGCACGTTCGGGATGAGCAGGTAGACGATGGACGACCAGGCCTTGTAGAGAGTCTCGTCCCAGATGGATGTACGGAAACAGGTGCAAGACAGGGGCTTGGACAGACGCTTCAAGTCCTCCTCTCGCTCGTGGAAAATCTGGGACAGGTGTCCACCAGTCAGTTCATTATTGCAATAATTGCTACCCTGTTCATGACTACTGTCAGAAACACCCCGACAAGCCCAGTTATTCCCATAGCAACGGTGTGAGGATTGTTGAGCTGGCAATTAGGCTTACAAGAAAAAAGTAGTCCCAAATTTTGGGGACTAGTTTAAATATCTTCCTATTCCATCAATGGTATATCTCACAAAGATTGGCAGTCGGGTGAATGAAGTTATCTAAATTGGTCACACAGATATTAAAAACGACTGCTTGTGTTACTGTGCGGATCCATTCGTGGAGGAAAATCTGCAAAATTAAGCGAACTGGGCAATTTTTTGTCTTGTCACACCTTTTTCAGAATCAGCATTTTGACGAGCAATGCCATGAAACACCAGGAAATTTCCGTATGTCTACCAAACAAGTACACAATCAACTTCCCCTCATAACCTGATCCATCCACAAGTGCACTACCATCAAGTCATTGCCCCTCGAGAGAAACGAACAAACATCACCAACACAAACATGTCTCTCCCTCGGGACTCACCAAGTCTCTCTCATCCTCCTGCACCAGATCCATCTTGTGGATGAGACAGAAGATCTTGGCCTCTGGAGAGTTCTGCAGGATGGCCTCCAGGCAGGACTGGTAGTAGTGCATGTCCTTGTCCAGCTCCCGGCTCTCCACGTCAAAGACGTAGATCAGCACCTCCACGTTCCGGAAGATGTTGTCCCTCTGACTCGCAAAGTAGTTTTCCATGAAGGCCTCTTGCCTGGAATGAAACAGAGCGAACGGTGCTGAAACATATATATCACGACTGTCCGGTGATACATGTATATATCTGCCTGTTGGGCAATTTAATGAACTTGTCAAGAGATCAAGTTGAAAAATCATTACAATTATAACAAAAACCACACACAAATATAAAACACTAACTACCCTATTCCAAATCAAAGCAAACATTTTGGGTAACTTGGTTGGTTTCCTGTGAACGGCTTTTGCTAAAACACGCTTCCATAAAACTACACTTTAAGATTGAGACTGGCGGCACTGCATGTTTCAACCTTTGAAATTTGGACACGAGTCCCGACTTCTACTGGCAAAAATCACATGATATGCACTTGAAGGGGGACATTGGCCTTAGTTCAGAAGGTCAGTTGATTTTCGTTGTTTTGCTTTTCATTCAGTTTCTTTATAGTAGAAACAAACAGCGGAGAGGAAACTAAATATAACTACATTTTGTGGCAATAATCTCACTGCACATTATCTCGTCCATAAATACACGTGGCCTCCCGCAGCATATCCACTACCCATGAACAATAATTTGTTTTTCAAAAGCATTCCATAAAAAAACAACAAATCCTCAGCGAGTGGCCTCCTGCAGTCCGAAATCGGTCTGGGCTTATCAGCGACTGTTTGTAAATGCCAGCGCTGTTGGTGTCCTTAGGGGGGGGACTGCCTACAAATTGGAACGCTGATGAGATTATTTTGGGGAGAAGTCTGAGCGACGCTGGCTCATCATACTCACCCTCCGCAATCCCAGAGGTTTAAGACTAGGTTGCCTAGAAATCTGACATGGGAATGCTCAACGTCAACTGTTGGGGAAATAAACATAGGTAGACTTGTTTATGAGAAACTTCAAACTAGCAGCCTGAACATCATAGCCGTAAAGAAAATAACGCAATACAATATATAAAATTAAAATGGACATTCTCAAAAATGTGTATCTTGAGAGATAGATGTATTTCTAACAGCTAGGCTACATAAAGACTATATGAATGACTTGAATCAAAGTTAAAGTATCCATTATTTTCAAAAGCCACGCAAATATTATTAAGTGTCAAAACCCGAAATTGCAAATTTCCTTTCACAAACAGTAATCTCAAAGGAAACAGTTTGGGCAGTAAAGACATTCCTACCGATACAGATTGAAGCTAAATTAAAGTTGATATTTTTATATAATGTACACAGACAGGAGACAAAAGTATCACAGGCAGCTGACTCAGACTTACTTGTGGCCCCTAACCTGCGGGTGTCACGAGCGATGTAGTTGGCAAAGATTATGGACCTCATGCTGGTCTTGCCAGACCCGCTCTTACCCATAAGCAGTACCTTTTAAAAACAACATGACAACAACAAAATCAGAATTCTTGTGTCAAAAAAACCCCAGAATGTCTGCACTGCCGTCAACAATACAATGTTACTCAGACCCTGGGGTTGTTAATCACCCTCATGTGACCATCATCTTCAACTACAGTTCCTTTTTGTGCACCTAAGTACAGGTACCAGAGAGCTGTATTGAACTTCAATAATATCTAAGTCTGAATTCAGTTTTTCTGGGAAAAATGTTTAATCCTATTCATGAGTAAAAATGACATCACTTTTCAAACAAAATTCTAATGCCATTAAAAAAAAAAAAGAGTTTCAACTAAAAAAAAAAACTGCAAAGGAGGAAACGTTATGTTTTTTTATTGTGAATGGACACTTTAGTGTAATCGTATCACTGATAAATAATTTCTCTATTGCTGTATCAACAAGGAGATCAAACTGGAAAAGAGCCCAAATATTCCTGCAACTGTGTACGAAACTGAATAAATGGAGCAAATGCATCCAGCTGTAACTTATAAACAGTTTATAAAATTTCATTCGTTCAATTTGTAAACAGAAAATTGTGTGTGTTAAAAAAGTATACACGCACCCACGGGAACCTTGAAATGTGAGTATGACTGTGATCAAACAAAACTGATTTATAACCCAAAAGGTTGCGGAGGATGGAAAAACAGTCTTCAGATCAACAAGAAGGATGCCAGATTTGCCATTTACGGGTGATTACTATATCAGCATCTTTCAGGATTGAGTAATGATGTTCAGATGATGACAGGGTAACGTCAAGTGATTGGTTACTTAGCAACCAGATTCCTTAGATGCCAGTATCTAAAGGTAGCATGTCTCTCTGATGGTCCCAGTTGAAAAAAAAAAAAGAGGCTAGTGCATTAGTGTCAAGTTTGCTCAGTTGTTAGAATTCACACAATGTATTTAATCACACCACATGGTATGCACAGTAAATGTTTGTAGCAATTCCGTTTACAGCAATGTTTCACGGGGTAATATTCCAAAGTCACGTGAGAAATGTTATTTTGGTCCCTAACCTTTTAAGGTTCAGGCGTGCTAGACAAAACAAGGCTGGCTCCAAGTCCAAGGGATGATTTGAGCCAACGTAATTATACAGCAACGCATCCAGTGGGAGGCAGCTAACGTACACGTACATGTACACTGGGGAATTCCTTACTAAAACTACCTGATCTGCTGTGAATATTTCTCAAGTCAATGTTCACCAAACAATTTCCAGTTCCAATGTTACATCCATTGAAGGGACAAATGTTGCCTGCAGTTTTTGTCAGGTCTGTTTTTTTTTCCCCCTCTTCTCGTAACAACTCTTGTATGAAAAGCTAGTTCAGACTATTGTGCATACTTCACATGTCTCTCTATTGTTTGGCCCAGCGCTGGGACATGCTATTCAGGGTGAGCTTCACAACTTTTAGGGTCGCCAGTGAAGTCTGCCTGAAGTGATTTCAAAGAAAATACAGCCTTGCATTCTGCAAGCAGGCCGCTAGGTCAAACTTGGATGGTGTGTTGTGGCTTCAAACACCATGGTCTCGCACTACAGGGGTTTACGTATACATGTATATGTGTGGTGAGCTAAATTAACGTGAACATTGCCTAGCGAACAATGAATACATGCATCAGACAAGGTCTCAACTGGAATTACTGATGCCAGCATTTAAGCAGAAAAGCCGGCCAATGTCTCCAACATGTATATTAGCAACAGCGGTCACCGGTATTCACACGGGCACCAGCCATCGTGGATTAAGTCCCGAAACGAGCAGAAGAGGGCAGCGCACAAGACACGATATTACAGCTACGCCGGTCTCAGCAGCACACGGTTTGACAGCCACAGTCGCCAGGACAAGTCAACCGAGTTTGAAAAATGGCAGCGAGCACAAGAGATGGAGGTTGCGATGCTCAAAGCCAAGGTGAGAACTGTGATCATGAGTTGTGATGAGCTGACACAGTCGGTACAAAGACCGTTGCATGATTTCCACATTTTTCCCAGGAAAATGGTGCGGCTACTTACCTTCCTTTTCCTACGATTTATAAAAGTCGATGGCCTCAAAGGTGGGTGTAATCCATTCATGTCTCACAGTTTTCAAAACTTCACAAGTCCACAGAATTCCACAGATTTAAATAGATCAAATATTCCAGACTGTGCACATGTTCCCGAGATTCTTGATCACAGTAGAATAACTTGCCAATATCAACCTAGCACAACAGAAGCTCTTCACTGAGGTAATTTCACTTTCCTGATGAACAGAGTACACCAACTACATTCATTACTGGTACTGTACATGTACACGTCAGTGGTCTTTCCACGTACAGGTAGCTATACGTAGTTTGAACTGGACGTCAGAGGTGGTACGCATGTAGCATGTTAACCAAAATCACCAAAATCACCCGTATTATGCTTAAAATCAGACAAACTATCCGGCCCAGAACAGATCAGTAGCACCACCAAACCTTGCAAATGAAACTAACATTGTGCAATATTAGAAATAAAGGGACTTCATAGCCTAAGAGTACTGCATGTAGGCACTCTACACCGACAAACCACTATTGTTTTCCAGGCCAATAGGGTATTTCCACATTGAGGTGACCAAGTCCGCGTTCTGTAAAAGTTCAAAGAACACTCTCTGAAGTCAATACCTACCAGTACTTTACACAAGGCTATGAAAATACATTGACGCTTTATTCTCTCAGATAATGTACACGTAACCCACCCGTGATATGATTTAGTACTGTTTGCCTTGATTTGTAAGGACAGGCTGAAGGTCTTTGCTGAAGTGAAACTGAACAATGTACATATGTGCAGCAGTACAAGTGCTTACATGTACAGTATGTATATTACTGTATGGTAACATCACGACCCCATGCCGGCACGATGACCCCATGTGGCCATCATACATGTCCATGTACTTGTGGATGGCATGACGTGCTACATGTACATGTTATGCTCACAAGAATCCATGGGTGCATTTATTCCTACAGTGCCTCCCATTTGGGCACAGCACCAAAAGTGGGCAACCATTTTTCAACCGAATGGGCACAAATCCATAGAACTCTTGTATCAGAGTAACACGGCTGAGTGCAAAGACACAATAGTAACGGGTACAAAAAGTTTGCCTCTGCCGAAGAAGATTAATTTCCTCCTCAGCAACAAGAAAAAAATAACATCAGCAAAGATGCTAAGATTTGAAACCACAATGATGATGATGCCGCCAAACTTCTGACTGCTACCCTGAACAATACACCAACACAAAATCCAAAGCTTCTCAAAATATAAGATGCCCTACGTGTACACGTTCTACTCCAGAAGTTAGTGAGTACATGTATATCCAACGCCGACGACTGTGACACTGATGATGCAGCACTGAATGCTGACAAACACTGAAGTTTCTTGATACAGGGTATTTCATCAGAATCGAGTTTCCAGCATGTTCTCACATGCTGTGCTGAACTTAAGCCGTCAGATGACAGGGCACCATCCAATCCCAAGCCTCTTGATGCAAGTATGTACACAAAATAACAATACAAGCCAGGCCACCGGACCAACAAATTTAACAAAACAAGGTTCTTGTTCGACAAATCACGTGAATTGGGTAAGCTTTTTGTGTTTGAGTAATTGCCGAGATATTGAACAAGGTCCAATTGGTTTTGCACTGATAGAGCATGACACGTGCCGCAAAGATGAAAGTTCAAAGGAGCTTGCAAAGTTCAAACGAACTTTGGAAGCTCTTCAAAGATTACATTTCAGTTCAGAAATGTTGACAGAGCAGATATAAAATGTCCGTCCACCCCTCCCTCACTGCAGGGCTGCCAGGCCACTTTATAACACCCAAAATTTTGGAACAATGGGAAGGGTAGTGTCCATGTGAGACGCTACATATAATGTCCATTTTGCTTTATGTACATGTACCACTCTGAGGGAAGCTTCGACGATCCGTTTGTGACTTACTGTCTGTAAAAAAAATGGTTACTAGGCTCCTTCTTCCTATGTAGATCTTGCATAATCCTCCAACAACCTCCTGCTGGGTTTGAAACATTTTGACCAGAAACAGAATTTAGGAATTAATGTAGAAAAATATTCGTTTTCAGAAAAGTGATTTGCATGTATATATAAAGCCATCAAGGCCTTTAAAATCTTCAAAAGTATGGCAGGAAAAACTTGGTTAAGTCCCAAATTACAGCCACAAGGCCAAATACTCAGTGAATGACCTACTGCAATATCAGAGACCCAATGTGTACATGACATGCAATGAATACATTGAATAAATTTGTGTTTACATAAATCGAAGAACAAAGCCAAAGTTTGCTGAAATATCAACTTTTGGTTGGTTTCTGATTTACCTCTAACGCATTCACTCATACTGGACATTTGTTCCATTAAGTTTAAATAGGGTTGTATTTTCATTTCGTATTTAGCAGTGTGTGTATTATTATCCGGTGTTCTGAGAGCCGCAAGGGATTTTGAACACTTTGTGAGTTATTCTGTACTTTTGTATTGCCAGCCAACCATAGTTTTAGCAGCCAAGTTGTAGGAAAAACACGACTGTGATGTCACAAGAGCAGGCCTTTTGATCAAATTTAAAATTAGAACAAGAAGAATAGCCAGGACAGTCTTCATATTAACCCCAACCCCCTAGGCCCTTTTTGCTAGGGACCTTCCTCAATCCTCCAGAATCCTCCCATTTGGGGGTGAAAAAATTTGATTTTCCCTCAATCCTCCGAAATCCTCCAAAATTTCTTGAAAATTACTTGGAGGTGTGCCTACTGTCTCAGTCCTTCAAAATTCCCCCGCAATTCCTGTCACTAAATTGAAGCTGTGCGAATGGCATTCTTGAGCAGAGCGGTTGATTCAAAAGAAATGTCGGGCTGAATTTATTCACGACTAAGCAAAAACAACACAGGGTCTAAACCACGACCTTCACTCATGGCATCCTTTGCACTTTTGCCTTTCACCCTCAATCCCCTAAAATCCTCCAAAACTGGCTGAAGGATTTTGGAGGATTGAGGAGGGTTAGGGTTAATTAATTATTACTATAGTACACATTTTACACAGATGCTCCATATTGCATGTACATGTACAATGATGGTCAGTTGTTTACAATTTTGGATTTGATTTGAATTGCAGTTGATTACACTGTGCTGCTGTGGTATTGATTTATTGATTCCAAAGGAAGTCTTCGGTAACTCTTTTCAGAACAATCTTCCACAGGCATGACGAGAAGAGTAGGCCTGTGAATATGGGCCTAGAGTAAATACTAACTTAGCCCCAGTAGTGTGGCACGGACTCTCACTCCCGACTGAGAGAGCGAGCCCATTAGATTGAATGAATAAAGGCAAAAAGACTGGAAAATCACTCAATAACGTGAGTGAAATTATTCAATAAATAATTTTTAGAAAGCAGACAGGTCAAGAATCATGTTCGTGTGCAAAAGAAATTACGCCCACGATGATAAGTTGGTGCGCCGAAATATATATACGCCGACATGAAATTGAGCATACGGATGTGTGGCTAAGGATGGATCGGGAGTGACAGTCCGTGCCACACTAGTGGGGCTGATACTAACTATGCTAATCATATGTCACTTTTATTACTCACCATGCTTTTGTAGAGGAAAGAGTTCCATATACGAACATGACGGACGCCAATTGACACCCTGTGCACAAACCCTATGAGTATGAGACTGGTCTGAAAAATTCTAGGCCTAGGTGTTTTTTAAGTAGGCCTAGGCAAAAACGACTTGGGTTTTAACTTTCGTCTTGGTGTGAGCGTAAGCGCGCAGCAGACACAACATACCGCAACTGGTCAATTGTAATTTTCAGTACATACGAGAGTCCCGCCGCGCTAAGCAAATAATGATCACATAACGCTTTGTTTGATTTTCTTAACCCAATATCATGTTCATATTAAAAGCATTCATGTTCATATTACAAGCATCATACCTTTTTCTTCATTCTATCCAATTTGCCTGTGTCTCTGTCATAGAAATCCTTAATTAAGTAAGTGATTTCCTTGCACGAATTCGCGTTGCGAAAGCTGGATTCCGGCCATTCGTGTGATCTGGGGTCACATGAGGCCAATGGAAGATACCAAAGTCACTTCAGAGGGGTGTCGCTCTTCAAGCTTGCTCACTAGCACTAAACAATTAATTGCATCCTCCACTAGTGTCGAAGGAACCATCGACGCATCCTCGTATCCATGTTTGCCAAGATATGAACTTCAAAATCGAGTTCAATCGATTAGATTTTACTCCTAGAAATATCAAAATTATTGAAACTAGAACATGATAATTTCATGCGATATGACTTAGATGTACTAAGTTAGATGTACATGTAGTTATCAAGAAGAAAACTGAAGAGACGTGATATTACAGCGTGCTTTGTTTTCCTACTGTTGTTTGTGTCCTGCCTGCCTAATTAACGTTGAAAGATAGGTAGGGGTGGGATAGGGAGGCTAAGCTGGCAAAATGCGGTCCTAATCTGAAGCGCAACTGGTTTTGTGGAAAAGATCTTGGCATTAATCAACATAAACCAAAAAAAAGTAAGGGCAAAATGATGATTGTTGTGATGTCATTTTCATGATTACTTCACCCTTTAGAAAAAGCTCTTGGCTAGTCTGACTTCCTGTTAACTTTTATCTTTACCAAAATACCATTGGCATGTCTAATTTGTGTGAATGTGGAAGAGTGATCTATGTGATTTACCTGTAATTAGAATAAATTGACAACTTGTTATCTGAATTATAGTAAACACTCAACCGTTCCTGAGTCAACAAACCACCAAGATAGTGTGATTTTGTGGAAAACGTGCCCCACCTCCTTTGGTACAAAGGGAAACTCCCACAATTCCTTGCATGGCGAAACCAAAATGGCCGATGGAACACGGCGGTCTGCGCGAGAGAAGTCACTCTAGCTCTAGTACAACTTCCCTTCTCAATTAGTGGCAAAATTAACAACTTTCCGGTAGTTGAAAAGTAACCAAGAAAAATGAGCGGGGAACGGGAAAGGCCTCATGCGAGGATGCTCCGAAAGAGCATGGAAGTTTCTGCCTCAGCTGTTCGAGAGAAAGTTTCCCTTGCTGTTCGCGAGAGTCGTTCGTTTGGGGTAAGTTGTTTGACAGGCCAACTCGATTGCTTCGAATGTTTACGGTTTAAACCTGAAATTTATGCATGAAATAATTTCCCATGTGAACCACCTCTTTGGGCATAATTGTTAACGTTATCTTCTTCGCTTGGAATGGTATTTAGTGCCTTTCTAATGCGAAACGGTGAGTTGAATTTGAGCTCTCTTCTGCACGTTCAATACCCGGAACTGCGTCAACGTGGTCAACCTGTGGGATCGTTCGGTAAATGAACCATCGGGTCGCCGCCGCGAGCGACGGCGCCGGCCACGCGCCACGCGCGATGATTTGCCCGTAGCAGACTGCCAAGTGTGTTCAGCTTTTGGAATGCACAGCGTGTCCTGTTTTTGCTTTGTAAAATTGTAGAGAGGTGTACAAGTAGGTAGGTTTACAGTGTTCGTGGAAAAGATTTATGCATTTTAACGACACTTATTCATAATTTTGGATGATATATTCTCAGTGAAAGCAGAATTTTCCAAATTTGAAACTTCTTCTCTAATGAAACAAATTACCAAAATTAAATTAACAATTCTACCCCATTCCAATAACCCAATTGTTGTTCCATCTGTTCTAGCACAGATCCACTGTAGTCACAGAACTAGCCCTTTAGTTCTAGGGGCACCCATGCCTTATTTTTAAAGGTATTTGCTTGTTTCAGGTTTGCGAATCATGAACCTGCAGAAGGGCTAGCCTAAAAAAATAATCAGGCTAAGTTACTTATTTACATGTACATGTATTTGTGATGCTATTTTAGCATTTTTAGCTTGTCACAGTCAAGGTGTGACTCTGTTTGGTAGAAGAGAAGGCCACTGTCAGCAGTTTGCTGGAGGTCTCTCTAAGTTTACCCATACCATGGAGGAAGGAATAGCCATGCCCATAGTTTACCCATACCATGGAGGAAGGAATAGCCATGCCCATAGTTTACCCATACCATGGAGGAAGGAATAGCCATGCCCATACTAAGGGCCTTCTCCCCCACCACAGTACCAGATTCAAGTGTCATTCCCACAGCCTGCATAATGCACATAATGCTTCCCAGTGGCATACCAAGACAACTGTTCAGAAAAAGCCCCATCCTCTGCATGTATTTTGTTAATTCACTATGGATGATTCTAATCCTCCCAGTATTAGTATGCCTGATTAATCAACCGGCCATTTTTTTTAAATGGCATTTTGTCCAGTAAACGTATTCATTTGTGGTTTGTGATGAGAAACTTGTGTGCTTTTAAGAATTTGGAATGTCTGTCTGTTCATTTTACCTTTTAAGTTGCTGTTGATGGATTGCAATTGTAATGTGTTGGTTATTTTTATTATTGAACCTTGTTTTGATTTTTTTTAAACTGTTGTAGTTTTAACCGTACTTTGGCCTTCGGCAACAAGAGTGAAAAATCTAAAATAAATAAATAAAGTTATTAATATGTGTATATTAATGTGTACACCTGTAAACGTAAATTGTACCTGTATATTTTAAAGAGGTTGTATGTTTTGAAAAGGTTACCATTCATGAACATGTTTGATTGACTCTCGGGGAGTGATGAGAATCAAAGCTTAGAAATGGAGCATTTCAAGACCATTTTTATTTTGTGGTTGTCTGTGATTTATTTACATGTACAATACCAATGCCATAGGATCACCGAACTCGTGCATGGTTAATCCATCAACCTTTATCTGTGGTTTAACAGCGCAAGGTCTCTATGGGCTTGGTTTAGTCATAGAGCAAGCATGCATGGTTTAGTGCGTAGCGGTTGTAGCTATTGGAGCTGATTTAACAGGATTTTAAATGGCTTCAAGACAACAATAACTGGGATACTAGTTAGTCTAATATGTGTGCATTTTAAACTATTACCCTTTTTTGACTACGCTATATAAAGGGTTAATTGATCAGGAGGATGGTAATCGTCACACATGTTACGTGGGTGAATGTTGTCATTTTGTACTCGAAGTTGTAATCGCTTGATAAAATTTTAGTACAGTTGTATCCAAGTGGTTTAAGGAGGAACCCAAAAAATACCAGTACCGGGGTACATGTAATCCTCTTTGCTGTGTAAAATGCATGTAGTACACTACCAATGATAAGCTCTGGTTCAAGATGGCAAACACCCACATGTACATGTGTTCATGTAATCAGCTTTGCACTAAAGTGTACCAGTAGGTACTGTATTTATAGGCAACATGCCTATGTTGGTTCAAGTACCGGTGTACTGTTGTTGTATGTCTGTGACTGTGACGTACATGTAACATCGCAAAAACATAGTAATTGTGCCAGTAGAGGTAAAGGCCTTAGTGGGGATTTCATAACCAGCTGTACTTATACACAGTTGAGAAAGGCAACACTTGCGAATGACCCCGCGCACTGCACATGCACATATGAAGTGCCGGTTGAGCAGTAGGCGCTGCAGTGCATGTGATTGAGGAAGCAATTCCACAAACTGCAGTTTCATTCCCAGCAGAACACATACATGTATTTGTGTAGCAGTTTGCTGTGTACACTTGTTGGGTGACTACACAGTGGGTACCTAAATAACCTGTTGTTGACACTGTCATGCCAAAAAGGGTCACCGGCAACAATGGCCGAGCACAAAATAGCACTTGGCAGGAATAATCTGTGGCTTTTGCACTGTAGGCAACGCTGCAAACTGGCTTTTGAAGGATTCGGAGTGGGAATTTGAGCTGGAATGGGGCTTAGCAGGACCTTTCCCTTTGGAGAATCTTTTTTTTTTTTTTTTCAGGAAACATTTGGTGACTTGAAGCACTGGTACACATAACGTATTGCTGAAGTTGTTTTGTTCAGAATTTGAACCTGACACCATTGTATATATTCATTAGGATTTCAAGCTCCAAGGTATTGTAATGATGAACATATCTACATGTACATGTATGCATCTATGGGTATTAGTGTGTGTTCTGAATAGGTGACAACTGTATAGTGAAACAGAGAACTCCACATTTGACCGAGGTCATCCATTTTCCTGCTGGTAGTGTACAGGACAGAACATGTACTGTACATGTACCTGCACATACGTGTAGGAGTAGGCTTATAAATTTTATGCGAAGTATGCCTGTGATCAAGGCCTGAAGAAGTGGAGATCTTCCATAAATGTTCAGGGCACCCTAGGGCATTTAGAGTTCTTGCACCTGCATCGATCGATCGTTTGTGAGTCATGGCCCTGTATGGGGCACATACTGTACCCATGTGTACTGCAAATTGTCACCTGGACCTTGACCATGCTGTAGCCAACTCCCCAATGTCTATCATGCTTCGCTCCACCAGTGCCAGGCCAGGTAGACACACATGCATTCATGATTCATCATCAATGGCTCTCTTGTTCCCCCTGCATGCATTTGTCACTGCCACCTTTGAGAACCTGATCCCGACTGTCAACGCCGCACTGATTAAGCTGCCGGGCCAGTTTGCAAGTGCACATGTACACCTACCATACATGTTGGCCTGTTGCCTCCACTGTACATGTATAATACACCCCTCACCTTCAAGCATAAGTGCCTGGCCTTATGGTTTGTCTGCTGTGTTGTGGTCAGTCAACCATTTACCTGTTAGTTTTAAACATGTCCTGCATGGCAAAACTCATCCATTAACAGGACCACCCATGGGTACATATACATGTAGGTCTTACAAGTAACACACATACATGTATGCGCATTAGATTTACAGATCTATAAAACTTTATGTACCCCACACTGTGTTGTGTATAATGTTTCAGCTTTGTCTCTGTCCAATGATTCTTTGAATATTAGAGATAATTACCAAATGGTCTCTTCACCTATATTGTCCTGGTGGCTGTAACATTATTTCCTTTATAAACATTCAGATCATCCCCAAGAAATTAATATCATTGTTTTGTACTTTTTTACTACGTTGTTGAAATGTAGTTTTTCTGTATTTTAAGGTAAATAACTGGGAAAGGACTTGTCTACGTAGCGTCGGTTGCCTGTAACATTAAGTGTTAGAAATT